CGTTATCTCACGCTATTTCACACTATTTCAAGTTAACTTGAATTTAGACCATGAGTTAATTTTCAATTTAGCTCAGAATTATCTCACGTTAACCCATAGTAGAAACCAAGCTTACATGGGTTAGTTTTGAGATAGCTCGCGTTATCTCACGCTATTTCACACTATCTCAAGTTAACTTGAATTTAGACCATTAGTTAATTTTCAATTTAACTCGAATTATCTCACGTTAACTCATAGTGGAAACCAAGCTTACATGGGTTAGTTTTGAGATAGCTCGCGTTATCTCACGCTATTTCACACTATCTCAAGTTAACTTGAATTTAGACCATTAGTTAATTTTCAATTTAACTCGAATTATCTCACGTTAACTCATAGTGGAAACCAAGCTTACATGGGTTAGTTTTGAGATAGCTCGCGTTATCTCACGCTATTTCACACTATCTCAAGTTAACTTGAATTTAGACCATTAGTTAATTTTCAATTTAACTCGAATTATCTCACGTTAACTCATAGTGGAAACCAAGCTTACATGGGTTAGTTTTGAGATAGCTCGCGTTATCTCACGCTATTTCACACTATCTCAAGTTAACTTGAATTTAGACCATTAGTTAATTTTCAATTTAACTCGAATTATCTCACGTTAACTCATAGTGGAAACCAAGCTTTAGGACAACGTGTCTTTAAAATAGATGGCAGTGAGTGGCGCGATTTTTCTTTTTGTCGACGTGTTCATGTTGTGGATAAGATATATTTTGAATCCCATAGCTTTCTAGATATGATAAAGACACTTCCTGAAGAAACTAACAAGAAGTGTCTTTATCAAAGTTCTTATAATAGTAGTGAGTTTTTCCTGCTATCGTGCATACTCCATGCCTCTTCTTTTTTTACCGTCCAATATATAAATCTAATATCCGTCAAATATTTTCTACGTTCCTGTTGTCTTCATTCGCGTATTTCTAAAGTGTTTGAATGCTTGTTCTTATAAAACATGGTTGTATATAGAATTCTACCTGACTGGCTAAATTGTTTTTCCTCAAAAGTGCGACTAAAATGGCAGTAATTGTGGGTTGTAGTTAAAATAAAGTTTTACTTTGGTTTAACGAGCAACATTGAAGAAAATAGGTTTTTTTAAGCCTGTTTAGAATGTTGTGCGAAAAGAAATACGAGATCTCTGAAACGCTTTCTAATGGTATGTGGTATATGAGATCACTTTTTTGTAAACCTGTTTTAGGGGCACTTGGCGATTAGCTGTTTAACTGCCTATTAATATGACCCAACCAGAATTCAGAATTAAACCCAAGTTGGGGGCGGGGGCAAAAAATACAGACACTTCCTTTTTTTTCTTGACACTTCCTCTTCCCTTGGTAATTTTAGACTTTCGCAAGGTCTATATTTTTGTCAAATTCGCAAAACGTATTGATCCTGTCAAATCTTGTTCGGATACAAAGCGCAATTTTATGATGAAAGGTGTCCAAGTTTAATACCCAGATTTGATCAAAACTGCCCAATTGGAAAAATCACGGAAATTCTCCTCTTTTTGTTGTCAAATAAAGGTAAAATTATTGTCCTCTAATTTCTACCGTGGCCTGTTTTGTACGGAACTCCATAAATTTTCATTCGATATGCAACGTTGCTTTGCACTGGTTTTTATCCTTTCATTATCTTGGCTACCCGGAGATATCTGGTGTCACCCGGTGCTGATGTTATCCAAAGACATCTCCTTTTCTGCCTCTGTTGTTGCCTTTCTGTAATTCATGCTCTCACTTCTGAAAATTTTCTTCTAAACGTTCATATTTTATTGTGTTTTTATTGTAGATCCATGGTCGTTGAATCATAGCAAAAGCCAGAGAAGATTATATTTTTTCAACAGAAGAACAGGATCTTCGATTTTTGAATCGCCTGGTTATGATTCAGTTGCTGATTACCAGTATGTATATGAAACTAACAATTTGCTTAAAGATTTGAAATGCTTAAACTGACTGGGTGTTTGAAGATAAGGTTATCAGCAATGGAAACCAACTGGCTCAACTCCCTGAAAACATCTTTCGCTTTCAACTGTTATGTCAAGAGCTACATTAATTGGTGGTCATTTGTTGTATGTGAGCATTGTATCAGCAAGAGGGACATTTCCTGCTGCTACCAAACAGTAACTGGATTTCAGTTTATATCTTTTAGCTTTGGCATGTTAAATAGTTAAGGAACAGTTAAAAGCCATGTTTGTTTCAAACTATGGCTTTAAAATATGTTTTGTTGTCTTTATGAATTGCATTTTTGCTTTATACAACATCCAGACTTCATTCTTCTAAGAATATTGTCAAAAAATTGGAGCAAGTCACCTGTTTCTGTTTCATTTTAAAGAAAGTGTCAATTTGAGCCCTTTATTTTTTGGTGTTTCTCCAGCAACATAGTTAACTTTTTGTCAAAGTTTTAAGCATTTTCATTAATAGCTTTTACTGTTTCAACTCAGAAAATGCATCTTTTTTCATTTGCTAATGAAAGTTTTGTTTATCGAACTGAGCAATGATACCACAGGCTGCATGTAGGAACATAACAGCATTGTAGCCATTCACAGTCAACTCAATGTGTTTTTGTTTCCTCCCAGCACAAAAATATGCACTGATTGTTTATTGAAATGAACCTGGACGTGAGCATATTTTACTGTCAGGTCTGGTTGCAATGGTTGTTTAGTTGCATGCATCATTGGGAAAAGGTTCAAATCAATAGCTTTGGCTTTCAAATTGGAGGTTCTCTACACAATTTACAGTGCTCCCTACTCCATCAGTTCACAAAGCACAAATATAATTCATGAACTATTTTGATTCAGGTATTGCCTTCAAAATCGTCTTTACTGGCATTGGCAAGACGAGGAGAATGTTTACACACCAGGGCAAGAAAGCATCAGCTTAGGGAAAGAAACTTTGTTAGACTTCATTAAGATTCAGGGAGAAAAGCTTGGTCTTGAGTGAACGCGATGAAGAACATATTCTGCCATTAGTGTGTGAATGGCACCAATGTACAGTTAATTTATGTTTAACAGAAATTTGGTTTTGTATATTTTCGTATTTCATTGAAGCAAACATGGTGTTTGACAAAATCATAGGAAGCGTGGTGAGATTCTGTTTTCACTTAGAGCCGGAGAGATAATTGTGACATTGTTTATGGTAACGTAAGAAGACTCCAAAAAGAGCAAGAATCTTTCAAATATGATTAACCAATTGTATGGTGCTAGATTAGAAAGGATCTGCCAAATAATAGATAAGATTGCTTGAAGAGAGCATCATCTTAAAATGTTTTAAATTAAAAAGATATTTTAGGTTATATAGGCTAATCAAAATTGCAAGACTTGTATTTGTATTGAATTTTACATTTACTTTAATTATTTGGTTACACTGATTTTAGTTGCAAATACTTAGTATATGCAATGCTAGCGTTATTTTATTACTTAGGATACGTGAAAGTAATACCACATGTCAATGTCTTGTGTAAATAGAAACTGAATTTTTAAACAGACGACAACAGAAAAAATCAACTGCCATTTTGTTATTAATCCTGCAAAAATTTTTTCAACAGTATGTTAAAATGCACAGCCATTTCACTATGATAGCTAAACAAGGCTATACACGTGGAAGGTTAAACATTCTGCACCGTTTTGCTATTTCATTTTCCTGGTTTCTTTACAGCAAATCCTGAATGTGCACTCAAGTTATGTTACACTTAACTATAAATAACTTAGTTTTAAGTAATGTTAAGAAAAGAAAATGATCATTAACACAGTTCTTAGAAAATACAGTCCAATGAATAAATGCAGTAAAGAACTTGGATAATGAACAGGATACCATGTGATTCATGTAATCAAGGCCACAAAACAGGTGTAATGGAAAACCATTTGATAAATGAGCAGTGGTCATATGATGCTTGGGCCTTACCACTGTATCCCCAGACCCAACCAGGCTTCTTTGGAAAGAGAAACCATTTGTATCTTTCAGAACTTTGCAACATGTCAGTATCTTCTTCCATTCTGTTTTGAAACAACATCGTATCAGAACTTTGTGTGCCTTTCATGCTCTTACTTAACTTCATGTTGCCTAGCAAACTGTTGCTAGGCTGGCATATCACTTTCTTGGGATTTACATTTCTTTGTTTTCTTGGTTTTCCCCAAAGTTTTCTCCTGGAGAAAAAAGGCTTTCTGCATGGAGGATGATTTGAAGGGTGATGCTTCCATAGCTTTTTTAGAAGTAGTACTAGTCAGAAAACAGGACTAGTACCTCCTCGATGCTTCATCTTAGCACTGTACTCTTGGGTATTGTTACCAGATTGAAAGGGCATGGATTGCTGAACTGTTGGGCTATATTGAACTTTGCACCCATATACCGCCTGCTTAGAATCCTGTAAAACTCTCTTTGACATATGATTTCTTTTTGATATGTAATGACTTTGGTCATCGACAGATGCAGATTTTCTTTTTACAATAGACAATGCTGCCCCAGTTATGTAGGTGACTTGGGACAACAAGAAATAATTTATATTGATGCAATTCATATACAAGTGTTTATATAACTTGCACAGCACACAGAGAAAATCTTGCACAATATTTCGGGCAAAAGCTTTGATGGCAGTTTGCTTTAGTGACATTAATCTTTTGGTCACAAACATTGTAGAATTCACCATATCATATGATACCCTACAACAAAGATCATTTTTTCAAAAGTAGCAATGAAACATACACTGAGACCAGAGAAAATTTAAATTGTGTTTTAAAATGTAATGCAACAATCTTGACAAAAGTGCTAAAGTATTGACAAAACTGTTTTAAGAACTTTGGGATAGGATGTAGAGAGCTTTGAAGATAAAGGCTAAAGCATGCTTTGATAGAGAGCTTTGAAGATAAAGGCTAAAGCAGCCCAGACCTTGAAAGTAGACTGGCAGTATATCATGTTTACTTCACACTTAATCTACAATTCTTTTTCAGAGGCATGTAAATTTATGGCAAAATGCTATTTATGAATCGAAAGTAGTTAGTAGGAAAGAATAAGTTTTGGTCTGTGACAGTGCATGATAACGAGTAAATTAGCTCTGGTATTCAATAGCTTCTAATTCATTGTTTTTATGTTTTTTAATTAACATTAACTTACCTGGAAATTATAAGATTTATGACATCATCAATTATTTGACTTTCCCATAATAAGCTGAGGCAAACAGTTGACACATAAACTGACACACTTCTGCCAAGGTACAGCACAAAGTAGAAGTAATATGCAAATGTTGCCACTCCAATGGTTATGCGCCAGGCTTCAAGTAGGTCTTCAGGTGCAAATAAGCTGAAATGGAAAGCATTGCTACAATTATACCACAATGGAAGCATTACATTGCATTCACTATATAAGCATATGATTTATATCAAAGTTGGAGTGGATGGGGTGTATGGTGTTTTATCATCTTTTGATTCTTAAGAATAATTTGTTTTCAATCCATCTGTTCAAAAACAATTTCCTCAAGGATCTATATCCAGAAGCAAAGTCTTCTGAAGAAAAGAAATATATTCTTTTTTGGCAAAATTCATCCCCTTAATGGAACAAGCAATATTCATTTATATTAAATTTTGATAAAATACAATATAGCCTTGTTCTTTTAACTTGATGCTTATCTACCTTTATAAAAATGTGAACCTTAGGTCACCAATTTACTCGAAATTCCAGGTTGGATCAATGACAATCGAATGAATGTAGGAGTCTGTGTTTCGTCACTATGTAGAATTTTGCATGGTTCAATTGAGATGATCTGGATTTGCATGCTGTGAAATCTTAGTAAATCATTTGGTTCAAAAGGCTTTCTTATTGCATTCTTTGCTTCAATTGTCTGGTTTCTTGTGGTGGGGTCTTCCAAAAACCAGGAAAACTGGAATCTATTTATAAAACTGGACAGATACATTGTGACATTCTTAACCCGCACTGACTTAAGACTCAAGGTCCATTTGGAGCAAGAAATCCACAGCTGAGTTATTCATGAAACAAGACAACTAATTTTTTATTCCCATCAGCGCCGACCATACCATAAGCACAGCCTCAAGGACTCCCTAAAACTCTCACTGACCATAGTTTTGGTAGCAGACCACTATAATATCCACTGAACCTCTCTGGAGGATTTTAATGTGCAACATTGCATTATAACTGTAGTCCTAATGGTTGGATTTAATGGTATAAAAATTCTAAATAGTTTTAATTCTTTCTTTGAGAGCTGTTGATTGGTGCAAGGTTTATATCTTTATTACTTCCTTTAGTTGGGGACATAAAGCAGAGGTTTTGGGCAGTAAAGGTGGTGGTAACTTACTGCATTAGTAACCCTCATCTGTTTTTCCTTATCTGTCAAAATAAAGAACAATATAATTCTCATTTAAATTTAAGGTGAATAGATTGTGGCCACCTTGTTTTCCCCACTGTGTTTGAGTGTTTTACTAGGACAGCAAACATATGCCGAAGCCAAGGCTTTTATTTACACATCAAATAAATGATAAACTGCCATTTGTTCAAGATTATTTTGAATGCACATTTCTATAACACCGCAGGAATATTTCTGGTAACAAACTGGTCAATGATTACCTGCAATCTTGACGGCTGACGCTGGATGGCAAAAAGGAAATCATAAATTTTAATCAATTAGCATTCGTTGAGGGCCTTGAACTTATATGGTAGCATCTTCCTGACTTTATAATGCATTTTTCTTGGTATTTACATTACGCATAATAATTGCGAAAAGTATTTGGCTAAGCTGCGAGCAAAAGCCCAAAGTTACAAGAAATGTACGCCATTTTCTTTAAATAAACAAAGTTTCTTCTGCATTATTACCGGTCGGATGCTTGCCTAAAAATTATTACTGCAAGCAACTTTTCTTTCTTCGATTATATTCGATCAGAGTATTAATACGTTTCAATTCCTTAGCCGCGTGAATAACTAACATTCTTCTTCTCCCTTCTGAAATGAGATATGCTCTAAAAATTCTACCCGAAAACTAGGCATAAACAAAAGGTTTATAAAATGACTGATTTTGGTTATACTCACTCGAATGTTATTCCATTGATAGGTGGCTTAACGGCAGTTTGAAGCTGGCCTGAGGCAAAAAATAATGTTAGGCCTATTGCTTCTCCCCAATCTACATGGCTTGTGAAAAAGAAGTACCCAAGACCGATCCATCCTATGAACGCCTTCACGAGATTTTGGGCATTTGCTGTCTTGGCGATTGTCATGTTCATGCAAAGGTTTGATCAAGATGATGCTTTAGCGATTCTCTTTCCCCAACTTCCTCCAACACTTTCCAGTTTGTTTACAACGCAGCTCGAAAATTTTTTTCGTTCTGTGGCTTTATTATGTTTTGACGCAATTGAGAGTTGGCACGTGACTTGCATTGAGACGGAGGCTGCTATGCATTTTTTCTTTCACTTTTTCGTTGTATTTGCTTCAGAAAAATATTCTTCTCCGCAACTACAATCAAACAATATGAATTATAGAGTCAAAATTTTGACTTCTATACTTTGAAATGGTCTATTTTTTGGCCTGTAGACTTCAAATATAGCTGCTTAAGAAAAATCAATAAGCCTTTTTACTCCCCGATCGCTTCCTTACTGCATCATGGCTGACCTCGTATCCAATTTTTATAATGCTGTCCCCCTGGCAAGTTTCATTTTCGAAATAATGTTATCTTTAAAGAGCAACTGTGGCAGGGGGATACTGATCCAGTTCAATTTCAATGAGAGGCGTGTAGATTTTGGAGGCCTCCCCTTTCTTGTTACCTTTGACCCACATGAGGGTTGCCGAGAAATTGTTAAACGGCATTTTGCATAGTGCATCATCCAAAAGATTTAAGGTTACAGAGATCTTTACAAGGATCCATCACGCCAGATTACTTGTGCACTCTAAAGTTAGAATACTCCATTCGTTCACAATGAGTCAAGGGGAAGAGGAAAAGAAAAAGCCTTTTAAAAGATTGCCAACTTCAGTGGTACCATCAAATTATGAAATAAAGTTGCAACCAAATCTTCAGGATTTCAAGTTCAAAGGCAGTCAAATAGTGGATTTGGAGGTGAGAAATTTTTCTTAATTATTATGATTATGCACGAGTAAGAAAAATAAAGACAGAAATAGTTGAGTAACAGAGACAACACAGGTGTTAGGTTTCACTTTCAGTTTCAGTAAGATCGAGCTCTTATGAAGGAAACATGAAGATAACTGAGCTCTACAATAGTAAAATGTTAGCACTAAACTTAGCATACTTCTTTAAATGCGTTTAAGAAAGTTAGCGTTGAGCATTAGTTTACATAACAAACAAATCCTCTTTAGTATGGAATAATATGATATCTGGAAAAGATTCTAAAAAATATAACAATACAGCAAGTCTTTGCTTAAACGAAATGGACATATAAGAAATTTCCGCCTGCAAGTATAAAGAATATTTTCTTCTTTACAAGAATCTAGGCAGCTTGAATTGTTTCCAATTTATTAAAAATGGAGCAAAAATGACAAAAATTTAATCAAATTTAAAATATATACATCATTCCATATATGATTCATCCATGTTAATTTCCTGGGCCACCCTTGCTTACTATGCAACATGATCCTTGAGTTTAAAGATGGGTTGTTGACAAGAAAACATAATTTTCAGCTCAGTTCATTTATTTTAAATTCCACAACATGCAAATTTGGTCAAAAACATTAAATAGCACCAAAATGAAGAATTAAAGACTACAATTTAAAATACAAGCATACAGACTAAACTAAAATTGAGAAAAATATTCTATGGCTACTGAAGAAAATCTTTATGAAGCGGAATTCTTGAGAAGGAGCTCTCTCAGTAGCTCCTTGTGCAGAGCAACCACTAATTCAAGAAAGGGTTTCTGAATGGAAAATATAAGAAATCAGCCAACCTCATTTAAAAGTGATTTCTTGCATTGAAATAAACCATATGAAAAACTAGACAGTCTGAAATGAAAATTTGAGTTTCTTTTAAAGAGTATCCAAGGAAAAGCTTAAGGGTGTTCCAAAATGATTGCTTTTTTCAAAGCCATTTCAAAAATTACTTGCAGGGCCACATCTTTCAGTTTTGCCATAAAGCTCAGAAACTTATTTGAAGCATTGATCTCAGAATGATACCACAATATATAGAAAAATTTGCATACAAAGAAAAGCAAAGAGAAACTGAAGGTACTTTGCAATAGAAAGTCATTTTGCAATCTTTAAAAAACCAGTAAATTTAAGCCACACACAAAACCAAGCCCAAGCGACGATCATGACTCAGGTGTGCAAGGGTGCACTTATAATTTTACAAAAATGTCTCAAGTGTACAGCTGACACTTAAATATTGTTAAAGAGCCCTGCAGAAAAGATATAAGAAAGAGGTTTTTCAATCTATTAATATAGATTATGGAATAAGCTACCATGTAACACATGAATGCAGACACGCTGAATTCATTTAAGAGCCATTTATACAATTTAATTTATGACAAGCAATACTGCCATGGGCTCAGCCAGCAATGGGTGTAACATCCCCAGTTCTCACAAGTTTGTCAGTAAATCTTCAGTTCGTCAGGCATTTTGCATCCCTAGACTGTTTTAGGCATGTGATGGAGTGCTATGGTATTTTGTCTTATTTCTACAAAGATTTAATTACATAATATATGGAGTCTTCACAAACCCCCATTCAAGTCATTTCTTCAGTTTTCACACAACTTTAGCAATAAATATCTCTGGTAGCATAACAATAAATGAAAGCTAATGAATATTACCAGAGATCTTTTTTAAATTTGATGCTGAAAATATTTTAGATGCAGTTCTAGACAATCCCTCTTGCCACCAACCATGGTGGCAGTCTTCAGGATATCTGGAAAATGTTAATATTTTGGCCCCCACTTTCAATCTTGTTGCATCAAAAGGGATATCAGAACTGCATGATTTGAAAACATCACAATTTCAAAACGACACAATTTGAAAATAGAATGATTTGAAAACATCACAATTTGAAGATAGCACAATTTGAAAACAGCACAAAACATTTCAGTGCATATCCTTGAAACAGAACAATTCTATTGCAGATTTCCATCTCTTTGAATCCAGAATGCTATTGTTTTGTGTCCAAGTGTAACCTTGGTGTGGAAAGGCATATACCAGTGTGTGCAAGTGCAAGGCTAATAAGCCTTGCCATTAGATTTGGTGATTTTTCATGAGTGGTCTGTCAGTGCAATTGTCTGCCCAGGGTGAAGGTCCATGCCCATCTGCCATTACAGTTCAGTTCTTATGATTATGCCTCTTTACTACATTCAATTTACATTATCTCTATAAACGGATGCACCTTTTATGGATTGTCAATTATTTTCTAGGTTAAAAACCAGATAAAGCAAATCACACTTAATTCAGTTGACATAGACATTTCAGAAGCCTACTTGAATGCTGAAGGGTCAGGTAACTATGTTAAATTTGATGACTATTGGGTTCTTGAAAAGGTTGGATATTGGGTATTCCATCTAACAAAGTAGAGAATGTTTCATTTCCAGCTGATAATGACTGCATAACTATCAGTTGTGCCATTGTTGCATGTAGAAATCTCTGTTACAGCATTGTTTCTCTTGGACCTCATCTTTAAGAAATTGTGAGAGGAGCTTGTTTAGTACAATGAACTGGACTTAGCTTTTATTAAGTTTGATTTTTTGGCTCAACCATTGAAATTATATTTCAAATAGGCTGCACAAAATTAAGCTGCATTTTAATCAATCCTTGACTTTCACTAGTTACAGCAAATGGTACAAAATAAGCTGCGCAGACATCATAAATGACAAGGGAAAGGGAAAATTATTTTAGGCAAGGAAACTGAGTTGTAAAATGCAAATTATTTGTTTTGAAAAATCAACCTTTTCTGTCCTTCTCTTACATTGTGGTTAATTGAATTGCATCTAAAAAGCTGCCATAAAAGTTAAGCTGCATTTGATTCTGCCTTTTTCTTACTTTTGCAGCATCTCTGCAATGCTTTCTTAGACATAATTCCTATTTCTACTGAAATTCAAACCTTCCCAAAACTATATAGCTCTCCAATTTTTTTTCATTCCTGAATCCTGATTTCAGTATCCCATTCTAACTGGGTTTTTAGAAGACACAAGATCCAGCCAGATAATCTTGCCAAAATGTTTCTATTGACAGGCCTTTTTGTTTTACGCAAGCGATCATTTGTAATCTTGTCAGCAGTGGCACAAAACCCAACCACACAGCACTTGTGCAAAACAGCATAAAATTTGAGGAATAAATGTCATCTTTTGTGACCCAAGCAAGTGACATTAGACAATATAAAGTTTGTATATCAAAACACAGGAACTACGTGTAAGCTAACTTTGCCACATTTCAACAACAAAATGCATTTGAAAATCAATTCCACTGCGAATGTTTAGGAATACTTTAGCTACTTTGTATTTGAACTACAATAGCACTTGGAACATTTCTGGGAACAACGTTTTGTGCTGTTCTTACAATAATGTCTGTGTGACCTTCATGATTTACATAGGATTTATAAGAGAAGGACATTTATCTTGGGTATTTAATCTTTCTTGGAGTGCATTGAAGATCATTATAACAGCATGTTACTTTCTTAAGGTGAAACTTTTGCAGCCTAGGCCACTTGTACAATCAATAATGAATGCTTAACAATATACCTTTGCTTATATGTACTGTAGTCTTTGATTTGCATAATTTTTTTTCTCTTTCTTTATACTCTATATATTTCTATATACTAATTTTTCAAAATGTAAACAAATGATACAATTTGCAAAATAGACTTTTCCCATACACCCAAGCTATTTTTAAGTTTGTAGAGGAGTGTCTCTCAATGTAAACACCAAAAATTAAATTCTAATAGGGATCTTTTGTTGCAGATCTGAAGTCATCAAAGATAAGTTATGATACCGTAGCTGAAACTGCCACTATCTCATTTCCTTCACCTATTCCTAATGGAAATGCTAAATTAATTTTGAATTTCACTGGAGAATTGAATGACAAGATGAAAGGGTTTTATCGCAGCAAGTACAAAGATCTCAATGGTGAAGAAAAATATTGTGCTGTTACTCAATTTGAGGTGACCATGAATAATGTTTGTTAGATAAAATTGATGCTGGTTTCTTTGATAGAGAATTTTTGTCTTTCATTATTTCCTCTTTTCCCCCCATGATTGCTACTTAATAGAAATATTGCTGCTAATTACATCCATTATAACTTACTGCATGAATGTTGCATAAATCTGAATTTAGCATGCATTTGTTTACTTTGTTTTTGTTCCAATGTAAATCAAGTGGCTTTCATTTTTGCAAAGGCAACAGATGCAAGACGTGCTTTCCCTTGCTGGGATGAGCCTGCAATCAAAGCAACGTTTGACATCAAACTGGTAGTACCAAAGACTGGTGTCGCTTTATCCAATATGGTAAGCTATTTTTTTGTGTACTTTGAGATTGATTTCAGAATAATGTTTTTTGTAGAGTTTTTCATTTATTTTCAAGACAGATGTACCAAACTTTTGAGACAGTTTTTCTGTCATCATAATCAATTGTTCGCCATTGATAAGAATGTAGCAGTTAATGTATGGCATGGTGTTGTTTGGATTCTCATCCATTTGATAATCAAAATTCCAGAGGAAGGTAAATTTGCACTGTTGATTATTATAGAAATCCTGCTTGTTTGGCTTGCAGATTGGCAAGCTCTTTTGAAATGCTGTGGCATTACTTGAACATGTACCAGTAAATTATTGTTAGTTGAAGGGATTGAAAGTTTTAAGAACTCAAAATTGAAATGGTATTGAATATGAAGTGTTTAGGCCTTGTGTGGCGAGGTTATTTTCTTGTAGCTTGTAAAGAAGGTGTTAGAGCATGATCAAGGACATCAACGTGTGCCTAAAACATTTTGCCAGTTGGATTGATTTAGTGTCTATTGTGTTGTTGCTGTTTAAAACTAATATATTGCAAATGTCAATTTTGTTATTAATTATCTTTGATAATAGCTAGTCAAATTTTTGTTTTTGACATTTGGTAAACTGATTTGCAAGCTGTGCTATCTAGCATCAAATATGTAGGTCTACCTGGGCCATTTGTTTATGTGCAGAATTTTATCCAATCAAAATTTTATCTTATTTTATACTGAATAAGTTTGTACTGACATTTTCAACATGGGTGGGACTCAGTTCTGTTTGGCTCATTTCATCTTTGATAATTAAATGAGCCAAATTACAATATTTTTGGAGAATTTGCTTGCAACACTTAAAACAAAAAACCTCAATTTTCAAAGAGCACTTACATTGTTGAAGGCACTCGATTTTTCAAGCCCCTGCTTTTTTGCTCCTGGTAAAGCCTGGCTATTTTAGGTACTTAGACATTACCCATTGTCATCAAAAACCCTTAATCAGACATTTATCCTCAAAGCACTAGGCTAGAAAGATTAAGTGACATTCAATAAGCAGAGATAGCATCCTGCTAATGTCTTAGATATGTATTTTTTGCCTTGAGTCCAAATTATCTTGAGAAATTATCTTGAGAATCTTTAATTCTTTCTTGATTATTAAGTTCAAGCCACGGCTAACTAGGCACTTGATAAAGCCTCTTGGCTCAAGCCCCCCAATGATTATAATGAGAATACTATTCAAGAATTGTTTCATAAAAATTCTATTCAAAAATTGCTACAATTGGCACAACTTGCATACTCCTCAAGACAATCTGCACAATGTTCTCTATTGATTATGCAAAATTATTTACCTTTTCAAGAAATTCTTTATCTTTTCCGAAGAATATAATAGACGAAAGTGACTTTTCTGAGGATGAAAACCTTAGAGTTTTGACATTTGCAAGAACACCTGTCATGTCAACATATTTGGTGGCATTTGTGGTTGGTGAATTTGACTATGTTGAAGGTCACACAGAAGATGGCATTCAAGTGAGGGTTTATACACCTCTTGGAAAGGCAGAGCAGGGTAGATTTGGACTTGAGGTATGATATCTAGAAGATTTGTATCTTAACTCTCAAATATTGTGCTAAAAATTGGCATTTGACAAAATTGAATTAAACTGCATTCCACATCATTCCACATCAACCAATCTGGCATCACTATTTTACATTTCAAATTTATCCACTTGTTCATTCCATTTTATCTGATGAAGCTCTGTATTTGGCGCAATGATTAAGTTTTTCGTTAGATTTAATTTATTTTGAAAATTTTACCCCATTTGAAATTGAGTGCACATGATTCATAGAGTTTTCTTGATGGATACAACTAGTCTTTTTCCCTTAGTGCTTTGAAGCATATAGTTTTCTTGGTTGTGAAACAGTTTTGTATAAATGCAGTTTTACTAAATCTATTTTTGATAACACATTTTTTTACTAGATATGGACTTATACTTTGTCTATGAATTCCAAGGGTAAAGTGCCGAGGGGGGGGGGGACTATGGGAGGCTGATCAATGAACTAACAAAATATTCAGCCACGTAGCTGCAAGGGGTACGGGGGGCCAAATGAAAATTTTGACAACAACTTGCCCCCTCTGGCTACACTTTTTCCAAATTATATTTCGAAAAGCTGGCATAATTATAATTCCGTTAGCTTGATTTAGTACAAATTTATCTGTGTTTTATGTATCTGCTCTCTTGTTTTCAAGCCTGCCCCCCCCCCTCAGGTATGGTTCTAGCTCGAGTTTGCCCACCCTAGCTGACATCTACAGCTACGTGGTTGAAAAGATTAGATAATCCCTCAACAATTAATGTAATCCTCGGCCGCTTGTAATTTCCCAAGATCGCCCATCTTATCTATGCACAAAAACTTAAAGAACGCCGTACATAAAAGTTATTTTTTGACTGTGTCCCCTCCCCCTAATCAAGTAAAATTTTTAATCCGAGACCGCCTATCTGATGCATTTTATATCAATTCCTGCAATTAAAGTTTTAACAACGCTTTTCAACAACAATGTAAAAGGCAAAAATGTTGGGTGAAGATTCAGTATTACTGATGAGCCAACTTTGGGGTGACTAAGTGGTAACCAAATTCCATTCTTAAATCAAAACACATAGAATACGTGATATTGCTCTACAATTCTGAAAGCTAAATCGAATCTTAAATAATTGTAAAGATCAATGGAAATAAAGCCCTTTAAAGTTGATCTAGCTTCCTGCCTACAATCGAAAATATGTTTATGCAGAAACTGTACGTTGATAGAGCCAATGTGATCTACATAGATATGTCCAACCAAACATAATCGGATGGATTTTGTTAAAACTGGACAGAAGAGACGAAGAAAGTTTGAGAAAGCTTTCTTAGCGTCCTGTTCATGTCGTTGATACTCTTTGTAGAAGAAGAGATCCTGTTTAAAAGCAAACATTTGAGTTAACTAAAGCTTTTCGTCTGATGCTCTTCAGAGTATAAAATGTCAGAGCCTAGATCGAAAGCTCTACGTTAGGAAATATAAATACCCAGTTGTGGATCGAAATAGGCCAGTCAGAAACGCGAGCACATGACTGTTAAGGTTGCCCAATCTGAAGCGTGTCAGACAAAAACTTTTGATCCTGTTTGCCCTGCAGCTTCTTAGACTAATAGAAGAGGTCCAAGACAAGAAGGAAATCCTATAAAGAAAAGTTCTATGTTGGGCATTCCTTCATATGAATAAAGCAGGAAGACACAACAACCTATCTGTATTACAAAAGCTAAACGCGGATGTATTTCGATAATATTGTACTGTTTTGGAAAGCAAAAATGAAAATTTTGACCTATTCTAACACAGTAGGTATTTCAAATCAAGTTGCCATTGGCAAAAATGGGGGGCCTCTCCAAAGTGTCCCCACCTGAAGTCGAGTTTACTGTTTAAATATGACATGTTGTAAATGACACAAGGGCAAAACGAGAAATGGGTCTCTAAGGCTGGCTCCAGCGAAACTGCTCATATATTAGTCATTTAAGATTGTGAGGATAAAGAAGATAAAAAAAGTAATAATAGATAATACGGAATTAAACCATGGACATCTGCAGTCGCAACTTCAGTATTTTTCAACCTGGGGTAACGCCATTTAAAGAGGAGAGATTGGATTTATCAGCAAAAAGCCAATAACGAAGGTTTTAACATAGATACAACAAGATTCCACCACTAACATTTCACCCTTCTTACTAAACTGCTAAAATGTTTAATTTAAAGCTGGCCAATACCGCACACTGGGCACTAAAAACCGTTTACCGCCGATTTTTCAATTACCGAAATACGGCCCAATTTGAGGAAGATTACCGAATTACCGACAGAAGAAAAGGGAAATACCGCAATACCGTCAACCGCAAAGACCCCCTCTTTAAGATATAATAAAATCAAAATTGTTTTCAAATCCTGCACTATTTCCCATTATCCAATTTTATTCGTCTCTGAGAACCGAAATCATTTTAATTGTAATACATCTCTTTTCTGTTAGGTTGCAATAAAGACTCTCCCATTTTACAAAGATTATTTTGGAATTGGTTATCCTTTGCCCAAAATGGATCTTATTGCTATTCCAGACTTTGCGGCAGGTTAGAATGACATCTTATGTTTCTTATTAGGTATCTTTTAATCCGTTTTATTACATAACAAAGTATAATTATTTACAAAATCAAGTGTACTCATATACAGACGAATTGTTATTGTTAAACGTTTTAAGAGGCGTTCGAATGAAAATTGGATTTATTCCTCCTTCTTTTATGCCAGCACTCATTTTGTTGCCTGTGTGGTTTTTGCTTATTGCTGTTGATGAGATAGAGGAGGTTTTTATGTTCTTGGAAGGATCGATTTTATATTAATTGTCTAAATTTCGATGAGAAAATATTGCTGGGGGGTAATTTTGTGGCAATGTATTCTTTATGATGTGATTCTAAGATTTTGATAACCAAATGCTAATGTTGGCAAAAGGCATTTCCAGACAGTAAAAATGGGTAAAATTTTTGTCTAGCCCCACAGCCCAGTAGCTGGCGCCCCCCACTTTCTCTAAAGTTGTGTGAACTGGATGAACGTTGTGGGAAACGACAGATTCATTAATATGTTTTAATAGTTGTTTTTGTTCCTGTGTGCAGTAATGTGGATAAGGAGTGTTTACCATGTAAATCTGAAGAGATCAATCTTTTTTTCAATAGGTGCAATGGAAAACTGGGGATTGATCACATACAGGTAACAATGCTGATTTCGCAGAGAAGCAGCATTTTAAATTCTAATTTGTGCATTTTCCAATAAAAAACCTTCAGGAGTACGAAGAAATGCAGAAAGCCTAACTAGAAACCTTGACAATGTACAAGTACCTACTCTTTTGGTTCCGTTTTTGTGTGTGCTGATTTGAAATTTGATTTGTTTTGTCGATGCTGATAGTTGAGCCATTACCGTGCAAAATCATTGCAAGTTTTGTCCTTTGAGACTGCTCAGAATATCAATATTATTTTCTTCTTTCAGTTGAAGTAATTCTGTATTTTTCACACAGTAAAGCGGATAATTGATTTTTTCTTAGAGAAACTGCATTGCTTGTTGATCCGGAACAATCGTCAGCTGCCATGAAGCAATGGGTGGCTCTTGTTGTAGGTATGTCTTTATTAATTACAATACGTGTCAAATGAGTTTAGAGCTATTTTTCATTCCTACTGCTAACAAAGGCTATTAGTCAAAATTTTACTTTTAATGTCATGGAGTTACTGGGACCTCTAAAGATTAATAATGGTTAATCTGCCATAACCATAAGAATCGAGCACAGAGACGTAGGAACAGGGGGTGCACTAGGGGCACGTGTCTCCAAACATTGGGAAAAAATTATCTTTTCTATAAATTAACCTCTTTAAAATAATGTCCCCTTTTGTTATATGGTACCCCTTCGACCCTGTACCCGTTTAATTTAGAAAAGGGATTCTTTCAGTGTGCCAGCCGAAAATTCGTTATCTTTTGATTTCCGTAGCTAAAATCCGAGATAAAAATCGCCATAATCCAAAACTGTCAGACATTTCATGTCACAAGCCAATATCTTTATGACAGAAAGCTTGAAACCCAATAGGCAAAATTCATAATATCCATGCCTCTAACAATTCCAAAGCCCTCTTCCATAAACGAAAAGCTGCCTTATGTATTTGTTCAGGTGCATCTAGCAAAATTCGATATTCGGCGGACTTTAGATGGGAGTATTAGTTTCATCGCATCATATATATATCAAACGCAATCTCATTTAGTTCTTCTATAATGAATATACTTTAGACTATGCAGATTTGATTATTTGAATTTTTTAGAAACGAATTTTTCATCAAAATTTGTATGTGTGAAACGGCATTTAAGTTCATTTACCCAGAAGTTTTGCCGTAGCAGTGAATCCACACCAACCCTAACCCTAATTTTGACCCAAATCCCAAACCTTACCCTATCTTGCACTCTAACCGGGATTCTATCTGTAGTTTTCGTAGCATTCTATCTGTAGTTTTCTACCTTGGACAGTCAAGGCTACACACAAAGCGGATATTTTACCATCACAAAAATTTGACATCATTGTGTCATCAAGTTTAAGTTAAAATTTTTCTTTAGTGTCATCACATTATATTCAATTTTTTATTCTCGCCTTGTCAATTTTCTCATTTTATCGTTTAGGACACGAGACGGCTCATCAGTGGTTCGGAAATCTTGTATGTTAAGTTTATTTTCTATCATATATTTTGCAACATATATTCATTGCAAAAATCAATAGGAATGATAAGTTCAAGCCCCCTTCCATTTATTTTCGAAACACATAGAAAAGTTAGCTTCAAGACAGCAATGTTGTATACTGTTACAATTATGGTACAAATGCGTATATAGTTTTTTTATTTTTAATGACAGATTACAGATTATAGTCTGTCTGATGATTGCTCAAGCACGAAACTCGGAGTAACAGAGAACATGTCTCATTTCTAGCTTATCTTCTATTATATCTATTGCTTTATGCTTTTGCACATCGAGCACTGTTAAGTCAGAATAGACAACGCAATCTGGAATAGATTTTAATTTGAATTCTCATTGCCCCAACTTTTCAATCAAATTGAAATGGTGTTTGAAGTGCATTCATTTATTTTAGATTTAAAGCTGTTCATATTATTTTTTCTCTTACGTTCTTTATTTTCATTGTTTTCTTTTAGGTTACCATGGTAAGATGGAATTTTTGTTACAGATAAGTATTTTGAATATTTCAAGTCAGGAAATTAGTTGTCATTGGCATGGTTTTAAAGAATGGTGAACCTATCCAAATTTTCGTTTATTGCAGCTTCTTTTTAGTGAAGTGTTTGAATTTGCCAATATCAAATTTTTGTTCATGATTTTTTATAGAATGATATTTGTCATGAACTTACTGTCTCTGTTGGAAAAAGATGCGAAATTGAGATTTGCATATTGCTTTTTTGCTTGCCTTGGGCTGATATATGTATTTCTGGCTAATTTTTGTATTCAGTTTAGTGTACCCTGTGAAGTTTTTAGATTGAAAGATAGTCGCACTGACAAATATAGGCCTCGCTAATTCCATAGTCTTTCTGCGGGACTGTTACGTTCAAGTTGCTATCAAACATATCTAGGAATGGTGGACACATTTATGGCTGAATGAAGGCTTCGCATCTTGGATAGAGTACCTCTGCGTTGACCATTGCTTCCCAGACTACGATATTTGGACTCAGTTTGTCACAAATGATTTTGTTCGGGCGCTGTCACTTGATGCCCTAAAGAACAGGTATCCTATATACCGTTATTCTGTCTAGCTATCTACCAATATGCCAACCTTCTATTCGTTTTGAACCATCAGATTGGTGGATTTCTGTTTTTGAATGTGGTTAAAGTAATGCCAACAGAAGTGAGTCGAAAGTATGGATAGCAATGAAGAGGGTGGGGGGGGGGGGTTGAGACTTGCTGTAATGTGACACCGAAAGGAAGTCGGGATGGGCTAATCGCGGCGACCCTAACGTAGAAAGCTAGCTGGTTGAAAAAATGATAAATAGAGCCGGTTATGAGGTAACCTAGGAGCATAATTCTACTCAAAAGAAATCTAATTTTGCGGGCAAAGCTTTATTCCATAAATTTATAGTGTTTTAGATACATGTGATGTGCTAAACCTTTTGAAATTTGAAATTTTTTTAGTACACATTCCTTTGTAATTTGCAATGGTCATGCTTCTCTACTGTGTTTTCATTTAATACCATACTATTTGATTTTATTGTTTTGTCTTTTCAGTCATCCGATCGAGGTAACTATCTTACTTCCTTTTTTTCCTTTTTTGTTCCTTATGGTAGCAAAGTTTAATTGAAAATGAAAGCGAATCATCAAAGGGTCATTTACTGGAGATGTCTTGTGAAAATGTGCGTTTCGCAGGCTCATCCTCTCCGTCTTTTTCCCCCTTTCCGAAATAAATACCACGCACATCCCCCCACTTGACGCTCGGTGATCCCTAAGTAATCTGGCTTGAGACGATGAAAATACTTTGTGCATTGCGACCCTACTCTACTTACCAATTCAACGTTATCGATTCCCTATCACAAAAAGGATCAGACAACTAGAAAATGGCACAAACAAGAACATTTTATCGCTGAACGTCTTCTCTATCTCCAAACAACGATAGACTACAAATTCTCATGATATCACAGAGATCGTATTGTTTTCTTTGACGAGATTTCTAACAGCGAATCTTCACGTTTTTACAACCCCCAGTGTCTTGCTTTTTCTCCTTTTTACCATTTCCTTTCGTTTGGCTGGTCATTAATAGATGGGTTTTACGTTTTTACATTTCATTTAACTTATAAATAACAAATAGATATTTCAATAAATCAATGTCACTACAAGTTGTTTATTGGAATTCTAAGGGGGTGCTGCATACTTTTACTTAATCGTTTTCTGTGACTTTGCTGACGGAAATGTAACTTAGCAGCTATACTTTCACTGGCAACAAAATTCTCAGTAACTTAATGGCAAAATAAAGTTGAATACCCATCAATGCTACTTTATAATCGTGTACTCCCAGTCTACACATATGTATGCTAATTTTTTTGCAAGGTCGTTGAAATTTTTGCTGTCTCTGCTCTCAGGTGGTCCATTCAGAAACTATGTGGGTTTAAACCAGCTGTTAGAGGGGGTTAAATAGAAAACTCTTTGAAAAACTGCTGCACATGGTCTTCAGATTTTACAGTCAACTTTTTGGGCATTCATTAGATCTTTGTATTTGCATCTAGGTAGAAGTTGGCCATCCTTCTGAAGTAGACGAAATATTCGATGCCATATCATACAGCAAAGGAGCTTCTGTAATTCGTATGTTGCACGAGTATATTGGAGATGAGGTTAGAGCATTTAATAAGAGTAAATACCCCCCTTTCTATGGGCCATTCAAATCATTATCCTCTCTCAAATCTTTGTTTAAGGAGATGGGTGCTCAGTATCGTTAAAATCAATTTGAAATGTTTTGCCTTGGTAAAAATGAAAGTTTTCCAACTAAGCTTTTTAGATGACGTGAAAGTACAATGTTATTGTACCAAATATCAAGTAAATCTTTGTAATTTAATCGACGCTATTCGCCTAGAAATGCATTTACTGTTTTGCGAATTATAGGAAGGAGGGTGTGCAGTCAACTCGTGATAAGATCTTACTGTATGGCGTGGAACACTCTGAAATAGAGAGTTGTTATCCTCATTATTCTTTCAAATTGTGCAAATTCGTCTTAAATTGCTACCAGCACTTTTCTTAAACTGACTGCATATCACCAATTTTTAACCTTAGGATTTCAAGACTGGTCTTCATAACTATCTCACAAAATACCAAAACAAGAATGCCCTTACTGGTAGGTCTCTTTTCTCAATTTAACTCTTATAGGATTTTGTTATTGTTAATTCATCCATATGTATATTGTTTCTTTAATTGATCTATAGTTTTTATCAAGAGAAGGCTTTAACTTTTTAACGAGAATTAAAAAAATCCTTTTTTGCTTATGGCTTGCAGCTTGTATGCTCAGTTACATATGTATCGTAAAAGAAATTTCATCTTAGAATGATATTAGTCCAGTTTTGTTAGAAGTGAAATGTGATAGTGGCCTATGGAAATGATAGCTATGACTAGCAAACAATCAAGATAAAAAGATGGATCACTTTTTTGTCTTGGTGTTTTGGTGTCTCTTAATTGGTCCTTTTATATTGTTTCTTTTACCTAGTAACTTCCTATAATCATTTTCTCTCCGTCTCATCCCAATCTTGTATTGCATAATACTGCTTTGATCTAGAGTATGAGAAGCAAAGTAAATTCTCAAATAACTCAATCAATAATTGAGATTCATTAGTGAAACCCCAAATGTCAGTTCAAGGTGGTCCACAAGAGGAAGTGACATGTCTACCGAGAAAAGTTGGTGGCTCTGAAGAAATAAAAAACATGCTGGCCCTAATTTGACTAATTTATAGCTTTAATGCAGCACAGAGCCTCTTTAGGCCCTGCAAAACATAATATTTTGACTTCAGCAGAGAAGCTTTGTGCCGAGGCAAGAGTCATACCACCCTTCAGTATGTAAGAGGATTGTAATAAACCTGAATTATGCAAATTTTTTATTACCTCACTTGTATCTGTAATTATGATATGAAATTTCAGCTAATTCCCCGATATGAATCTGGGTTGTTTGAAAATCGCTTCCATAACTTTGAAATTCTCATGCAGACGACTTATGGGAAAGTCTTGCTCATGCTAGTAAGAAACCTGTTGGTGATGTCATGAATACATGGACGAAACAAATGGGATTCCCCGTCCTAACAGTTTCGATGCAAAAGGTAAGTAATCTTCACTTCGACCCTAATTATGATGTTTTTCTAATCAGGTACCACGAGCCTTCAGGGAGTATAGCGATTGTACGTGTAGTCTGTGTTTCAAGTGTGAAACACGGGCTATGTTTTAGTAGATGTGTCAGTATACGAAAGGTAGCAATTATCAGTGCAGTAATTTTCACGAAAGTTGAGTTGGTCAGCACCAGCAATGCATCATTGGATTAGGTGATATTCGACTTAATTATAAGTGCAACTAGCTTAAGGAACCTACATTTCCTTTAGACAAACATTTTGTTTGCTTATGTAGCTTCGACTCAAATGTTCTTTTTGCTTTATGTATATTATCTACTGTTAAATACAATTTTTGATAGGTTATCAAATTGTTAATTTTCTGCGCTTAAAGGTATTTCCGTGTAAAATTATTGATTGAAAACAATGAAATACAAGGAGTACCAAGTTTGTAATGCTTACAGGGTTATTATGACAAAATGCTGGTAGACAAGCGAATTTGTCATTAAGCTAAGTTGCTAGTTTGTTCAGCTAGCTACAAAGGTCCAATATGTTAAACGTTATTAATGTATGTACTTAATTGTATTTCAGTACCAACTCTATGTGATGAACCATAGTCATTGTCGCTCTAGGTACCGTCCTTGTACTGTAGAAGAGTAGTTTATATGAAGTGTTTCAGTTATTTCGTCAGTGTTGGTTTTTTAATTTAGTATATATAAAAAGATTAGATAGTTACATCAGAAAAGGACTTTGTCAAAATTATAATTGAAGAGCCAATTTTTAAATGAGCGTTTTATGTGTGTTGAAACTTTCTATTATAACTTTCTTTTGAAATTTTGACTTGTCTTAGATGAATTAATTCACCAATTCGACTTACGACCTCGTTTTGAAAATTTATCCAAACTTAATTATACTACCTTTTTAAGCTCAGATCTGGCTTTATCGCCATGATTTTAGGGCGGATACAATTTTTCATATTGTTTGAGCTTGTATTTTAGATTTTACGGAGAAACGACCGCAAAAATCGTTTCGGGGGGAAACTTTGCCCCCCTAGTCGCCAATCACGGTCAAATTTCTTATAAAATTTTTCTCTTTATGTCGTCATAAAATCAATATCGTGAGCAATACCATAATGAAATCTTCCAAGTAGATTAAAATCATTGTTTTCAATTCGAATCTGAGGTCAAAAATTTTATACAAAAGAATTTGAAGAATTTTTCAAAATGAGGCCGTAAGTCGAATTGGTTTATTGTAACCCTTCGATTAACTGAATTGGTATCAGCTTCTCTCCCGCAACAGAAGTCAGAGATCATATCATGAATAGGATTTACATTCAAATTATGTATCTGTCAAGGTTCCCATTATCTTTGGTTTCCAATAACAGTTACAAATTTTGAAAAGTCCCCAAAAAGTAAACCTGCTATTTTTTCATTGTTTTAAATGTTTCTAAATATGCACAGTTTTTTTATTAACTTTTGTTGTTACCTTTTGTTAGCAGTTTTTGACGAGCACAATTCAAGTCTACTTGTCTTTGGCTAATTTTTTATCAAGAGCTTTCCAATCAATAAGAATGCTCTTTTTCTCCAGAATGAAAATCTATGTATTTTACAAGTTAGCCAAAAGAAGTTCACAGCAGATGGCTCAGTTTCAGAAGGTACGTCCAGAGCCTATGTAACGTCAATTCATCGTACCTGGGACACGTGAAAGGCTATGTTTAATGTAGATTGGTACTGAAAATGTAATTATTGCTTTCGTAATTGTTGATAATTGTTAATCGTCGTTTTGTTCAGTAATCGTTATGTTTGCTAAGTCTAATAGATGTCGTTGTGTTTATTTGAGGGAATAGAGTAATGTAGCTTGATGAGAAAAGTGTCCTCACCTATCTATTGACTTTTTCAGTAACATACAAGTACATTTTTATTAGTAGTACTAGTTCCATCTGATGCATCCTTACAAGACGATACGTCATATATAGACGATATATTTTTTGCTAGACGATGCGTTACTATTTGCCTCCAGGGGTCTAGTATGCCGTTAACATGTCCGTCTAATTAATGGAATGAGATATAGATAGCCAAATAAACAGCTATAGATAGCCAAATATGACTTTTGTAGCTACCAAACCCCTGAAACGGCGTGTGTTTTTACTAGATGACGAAAAGTACAAATGGCTGGTGCCTATCACAGTTTGCACCAGTGACAACCCAGCAAAAGCGGCGGTTAAGACATTGCTTACTGACAAAGAGATGGTCATCTTTGTCAATAACGTACCAGAAGATTCTTGGGTGAAACTCAATCCTGGCCAAGTTTGTTTTTACAGGGTGAATTATGCAACTGAAATGCTGGATGCCCTCATACCTGCCATCAAAGACCAGTCATTGCGGCCTATTGATCGACTTGGAATTCAAAATGACTTGTTTGCATTGGTGAGTTATTTTGTTTTTATTTCTAATTTTTTGTAAGGTTTCAACCGTATTTCTAAAAGTTCTGTTTGTTTTTTTTTAATTGAAGCTGAAAGAGCTCACGATACGGTGGCTATAAATAACATGCTGCACGTACATCTGTCAATTTGAAATGAAATATAATTCGAAACTTGAAAGAACGTTCTTGTTATCTTACTCCATGACCCTACCGCACCATTTTCCTTAGTGTATGCTCTGGATCTATTTTCCAGTCATTTACTTTAACTTCTTTACTTGTATTTCAAGACACAAGCTGGATTGAAGAGCACGGTCGATTACCTTCACGTGGTTTCAGGATTCGCCTCTGAGACGAACTATACCGTCTGGAATGACGTCATTTCAAACTTGGGCAAACTGAGAATTCTATTTCAGTACACTCCTGCTATCAAAAACTTCCAGAATTTCTGCCTCAAGCTACTCACTCCTATTAATGGAACTGTTGGTTGGGAAAAGCAGCCTGGGGAAGGTAGTCATTTGTTTAATGTACCGTGTCTGTTTCCTTGCTAAATTTTTTTAAAGAAACTTACGTTAATGGGACTCATAATGGCCAGATTTTACAAGAGGGTCATACATTTATTTCCAAACGTCTTTTTGAAAAAATTTCAAAGACATCGATCATTTTACTTGATTTCCAGTTTCTACATTTAATATTTTGACGATCAATGTGACGCTATTGTTCGATAAGCTGAATTTTGTGATTCCACAGCTGTCTCTAACTGGCATTGCATCATAGGTACTCTTTTTGATATATTGTCGTTATTTTGATGCTTTATAGAATCGCTTACATGCTCAAAACTTCTCACCTAGTGAATTTGATATCTTCCGTGTCATTTAGGTTTGTGAAGTGCGTAGTGCGAAAACATGCCTTACGGAAAACATTTTTAACGAAATCTTAAACAATATTAAATATTTTGCATGCACCGTGGAGCAGGGGGGCTGGGGAACTTTTTGAAAAATGCCAAATATTATGTAATGCCTTTTTTACCAGTAAAGCCTTTTTTAACTCAGTTTTAACCCCCCCCCCCCACCTTTTTTAGACCCCCACTCATCTGAACGCTCCGCGGGGCCAGTCTTGTATTCTTTCTGGAGATTGATAACTCTTGCCTCTCATTTAAACCTTGAAGCTCTTTTTATATATACCTGGTAATTGTTTCAGGTCATCTCACTGCATTGCTGCGTAGCATGGTAATTGGAATGCTTGGACGCAATGGGCATGAGCCAACCGTGAACGAATGCAGAAAGAGATTCGAAGAACACTGCGCAGGAACAAATGAAATACCGGCTGACCTTAGAGGAGCTGTTTATGGGACTGTCATTGCCAACGGAAATGTCGGAGATCTGGTTGCGATGATTGAACTGTACAGAAAAACGGATCACCAGGAGGAAAAAGTCCGTTTGATGAGGTGTATGGGAGGATCTGAGGATAAAATTATGATTGAGCGGGCATTGTCTTTTGCTATGTCGGTAAGAATATTTCCATTTGTTTTTAACACACTGCAGATATATTTGGCAAATTTTTTAAATGTCATCACCATCAATTATTAGCATCACCTTATTTTATCATAATCATCATGTTTCATGTAAGGTAAGTGAGATCTTAACTTGCTTGAGACATGAAATCAAAGTTGTTCAAGTAACAGTACTACTTCAATTCATTATTGCAATTACAAGGGAAACACAGCACACTGCAAGGCAAGGGAAACTCCAGATTGAGTTACAATCAAATATGTCTGGCGTTAAATAAAACTCTGCGAACCAATTTTTCCTAGGATGATGTAAGGTCGCAGGACACAGTATTTGCAATCGCCGGCTGCACTGACAGGTAAAAAGTCTTGCCACAGCAATATAAAGTTTGTCTTTCTTTTCGATATTTTGCATCATTATGTACGAAGAATGAGTACATGAAGGGGGGATTTTGCTCAGCTCGATGGGCATCCATATATATAGATATATATATATATATATATATATATGTAGAATTGTTGCCAATTGTGTAACAATGGATCGGCATTTTGATGAGTTCAACAATGGAAACATAGAAGCCGAATTCAAAGGCGGGAGACAATCGAAACAATGCAGGCATAGAATGCCAAAATCAAAGGATTTTCCCAATTTTCCCAAACGAACAATCGAGAATCGTGAGTTTCCCGATTAAGTGGGCAATTGAGGTTCGCTAATCGACACTTAGGTCTATAATCGTGCTATTAAATTGGGTTCGGCTGCTAGCCTGAGATCCCCTTTGTGGTCATCCTCTTAGATTCGACCAATCACCTTTAGTTTTGCTCGTGACGTTGTGCAGTTAAAATTGGTTCTGCACGTGCATGTTGAACGGTAGCCAGAATAGATCAGAAACTTCTCGTAATCGAGAATGGTGCTTTCATCCTGTCAAGCGTCAACGTAATTAGACGTATAATTTGCAATTTGCTATGTAGGATACAAAAGAAAGTGCGGGAATATGCGATTTCACGAGTTTCTGCAAGAATTAACTTTCATGCATGAGTCGTGGAAAATATATTGTAAGTGTTTGAAAAGTTTTGCAAAGTCGGTGAAAGTTATTCGAAGATTTCCAGGCTTTGCGAAATTGTCGCAAAATGCTTGCAGGGACTTTTCAATTTTCTCTGGGGTTGATCCAAAATTCATTCGAAATTTTTCAGACCCTATATTTTTATATAAAGAATAAGTCAATATGTTGGATAAGATAGTTTGGTGCAGGAACAACGTAAAAGAATAGGAATTTGGAACGTGTGAGGTCAGACCAACAGTTACGAGAATAATCAATTAATAATCTTGGGGTCTATGATTACATTTCTTCATCAAATAGTTGAATTGCCGAGTTGAAGAAATCTTTGCACTCGCAACTAGGAAGTTAACGAAATTAAAAGTTTGGCTGCTCACAATTAAGTACGAAAGATTCCCCTTCGTAATCAAGTAATTGCACTGCCGCGAGATCATTATGCTGGAACCGTTTTGTCAGCGCGGGTCGTTAGGGATCGTTAGGCACGCATCGATTTCTCCTTCTTGCAAAGGTTGATAGTGGAATTCAAAGATCAGAGTTTGGTGAACTTACTGCGTCATAGTAGCATTCCCCGCTGTTTATCAAGAAAGTGTAAATCTGCGAAACGCATTTTGATAAAGCAACCGAAAAGGAATAATTATTCGTGTTATGTTATCAAGCGAAAAATGTCCTTCGTCAAATAAAAAAACAGATTCCCAGTTAGGTTCCACTCACAGAGCCCCAATAAATGAGTTCTGTAATCTTGGCGAGTCATAGCTCGTGCCACCGTTTTTTAGGTATTTTAAGTCTGTGAATCGCAATGTCATAGAGAATAAAGGTTCTTAGTTGACTGGCAAACAGACTGGAAGCGCATCTAGAAAAGTTCAGACTTTTAATACATTTGGAATCTTCGTTGTCGTCATCATTGTCATCGTCGTCATCATAATCATCATCATCAATCATCATCATAATCATCAATCATCATCATAATCATCAATCATCATCAATCATCATCAATCATCATCATCATCATCATCATCATCATCATCATCAGTTTTGTCCACATCGCCAATTCATAATATCGAAGTACCATTCCTCCACATTCTTCGTACATTGCAAAAGCCGTGCTATTTTTTTTCTTATGTGAACATATATTGTGGCGAATGCCTTGACAAGCTCGTTCATCATAATCGATTGGTTATCTGGTGCCAAAAATCACTGAATTTTTTTATCTTTTTGAAAAGGGATTTGTTCCCAAATAATTTGTGGCGTCAATATCGTTATATTGAAATACTATCATATCATTCGCTATATGTAAATGATTGCTATTTTATTTTAATAAATGCCATTATCATACTAGTAATATAATTATGTATAGCTGCCGGATGGTCGTATTACGTGCGAATCGCGGGGGTGAAACGAACGACCTTTATATGGCATTGTTTTTATGGCATTAAGCACTGGATCGTGCGAATGAGCCTTGTTTGTATGGCATTAAGCACTGGATCATAAATACCATCATCGATTATGCAAATGATATTTTCCGCTTCAACATGTTAAACACATAACCATATGTTCCTTTCTTAAGATGACTGTCAATAATTTGTAAGCATACATTGTAGACATTTCTCTCAGTGCATCCCTCCAATCACCTGACCATTTAGTTGTGTTCAACATGGCAAAACACAAATGATGTCTCACTGCATATAAGTAGTAAAAAAGAGCCCTCCCTTTCTGATTTCCCAATTAATATTCAGATGTTATCGTCTTAAGAAACCTATTGCTTTGATTTCACTCTTAGTGTCCAAGGGCGTTGGCAGACGTGGCAGTTCGTTAAGGACAATTGGGAGGAGCTTCACAAGAGATATCAAGGAGGATTTCTGCTTGGCCGTCTCATCAAGGTACCATGCCCACCTAGACTTCTTGGAAAATCCAATAGCTCCAGTCCGTCTTGTTATAGTTTCATTTCTTTTCTCGAATACTGTGACTTCCGCTTCTTTTTCCCAGAAAAATGTTTATAGTTACAGGTAAACTTTATACAAGTTCCATTAAAACCCATCCTTTTTAACGTCCTTTTGGTGGTTAATCGACATTGTTCCAATTGGGGATAGAAATGTTGAATTCGAACTTGAAAATTGAAAAAATTGTTCAAAGGCTTAAGCGGTAATTGAAAATTGGATATCTTTTTACTGAATGGCAGTTTAAGAGGGTTTTGTAGCATTGTTGCTGAATCAAAATGATTGCTTGGAGAGAATAGGGAACAAACATTCAGAAGTTAGAGACAGTCCTTCAACTGGATTTGGAATTTTTGTAATTTGCAGGCGCTCCTTCTTCATCTTCTTCTTCTTCTTCTTCTTCTTCTTCTTTCTTTTTTTCTTAACCTCATCTTGTCTTCATCTTCATCCTCTTACTCATCCTTTTTTCTGTCTTTATTTTTCCCATTGTTCTTCTCTTCATCTTTGTCTTCTTCTTCATCTTCGTACTTGTCCTTATTTTCGTCTTTGTTTTTCTCATCTTTTCCTTATTTGATCTTCTTCATCTTTCTTTTTTCTCATCTTCATCTTTGTCTTCATATTCCTCTTCTTTCTTATCCTTATTTTTGTTTTCATTTTTCTCTTCTTTTCATTTTTCTCTTCTTCATCTTTGTTTTCATATTCGGCTTCTTCTTTGTCCTTATTTTCGCCTTTATTTTCTCTTCTTTTCCTTTTTTCTCTTCTTTATCTTTGTCTTCATATTCGTCTTCTTACTCGTCCTCATCTCTGTCTTCATTTTTCTCTTCTTTTCCTTTCTTTCCCTTCTTTATCTCTGTCTTCATTTTACTCTTCTTTTCATTTTTTCTCTTCTTTATCTTTGTCTTCATATTCGTCTTCTTACTCGTCCTTATTTCTGTCTTCATTTTTCTCTTCTTTTCCTTTTTTCTCTTCTTTATCTTTGTCTTCATATTCGTCTTCTTACTCGTCCTTATCTCTGTTTTCATTTTCTCTTCTTTTCCTTACTTTCTCTTCTTCATCTTTGTTTTCATATTTGGCTTCTTCTTTGTCCTTATTTTCGCCTTTATTTTCTCTTCTTTTCCTTTTTTCTCCTCTTTATCTTTGTCTTCATATTCGTCTTCTTACTCGTCCTCATCTCTGTCTTCATTTTTCTCTTCTTTTCCTTTCTTTCTCTTCTTTATCTCTGTCTTCATTTTTCTCTTCTTTTCATTTTTTCTCTTCTTTATCTTTGTCTTCATATTCGTCTTCTTACTCGTCCTCATCTCTGTCTTCATTTTTCTCTTCTTTTCCTTTCTTTCCCTTCTTTATCTCTGTCTTCATTTTACTCTTCTTTTCATTTTTTCTCTTCTTTATCTTTGTCTTCATATTCGTCTTCTTACTCGTCCTTATTTCTGTCTTCATTTTTCTCTTCTTTTCATTTTTTCTCTTCTTCATCTTTGTTTTCATATTCGGCTTCTTCTTTGTCCTTATTTTCGCCCTTATTTTCTCTTCTTTTCATTTTTTCTCTTCTTTATCTTTGTCTTCATATTCGTCTTCTTACTCGTCCTTATTTCTGTCTTCATTTTTCTCTTCTTTTCCTTTCTTTTTCTTCTTCATCTTTGTTTTCATATTCGGCTTCTTCTTTGTCCTTATTTTCGTTTTTATTGTTCTCTTCTTTATCTTTGTCTTCATATTCGTCTTCTTACTCGTCTTTTTTTCTGTCTTCATTTTTCTTGAAGAAGTCGTGGAAAAAAAGCGTTCTTCCTCATCCCCTACGTCGTTTTTTAGTAAACAAACATATTGTTCAAAGGGGGGAAGGGGAATGGCTTAATATGTCCTTGGAAACTGACGTTAGGGTACCAAGACTTTTGGCAAGGATTGTACCTTATATAGTGAAAATGGTCAAGGCACGTTGCATGGGTAAGTTATGAACGAATCAGGCAGGAATTTATCTAATATTTAACTCGTTGGTTTAGGTTAACCATTCAATAATTTTTTCTTTTATAGAGTCTTACTGTTCTCCATTAATTAATTCTCTTCTAAGACATATCAAGTTTTCTATATAAACAAACAATGTTATTTATATTATGATCCAATTTATCATTTTAGTCAACGACAGAAAATTTTGCATCAGAAGACATGGCAAAGGATGTCGAGGTATCTTTGTTAATTATTATAAACTAATTATAATATAACTTTATTATAAACTAATCAAGTTAACGTTAAAGAAGCATGTTAATGTTTTTAGATCATTGGCTTGCAATGGGGGGCAGGAGAGAGGAGCTTTGGATGTTTTTTCAGGATTTGAAAAAAGATTTGTTGAGAAATATTGTTAGTTCGTGATCGTTTAGGGAAGGAACTGATTTATTCATTATTCGACTCTTTAATCGTCAATTTCGTTACATGCTTTTTTCAAATCGCTTATCTGAATGTGAAGAAAGTCAATTAATTGCCGCGGGAAAATTTTGCAAGATGGATGTTGTTTGATAATCTGTCTTGTACGATATTGCTCTATTTTTATTAATGAACCTGCACGTACTTTTAAATATTATCAATATAAAATGAAATATGAAGTATTGATGTTAAAAAAACATTTTTTCAATATAGTGGCACTCTTTGTTGACTCTCAAGCTGAGTGTGCTAACTCTAAATTTATATGTAGAATTGTTTGTAGGTGTATAAAAAGGGCCGTTTTGTCTTTAGCCATCTGCCTTCATGTAACGATGTCTGCTTTTGAAATTGTTAGTTCTATCTTTTACAGAACATGAGCAGTGTCGTACTAATAAATTTCGTTTTGATTGTGCAAGAGTCTCTGTTTTTGTTTTGACTATGCTTTTATCCAAATCAGGACTCCGTTAACCAGGCACCGCAAAGCCATTGGGCTAGCAGGGTCTATAGCCCCCCACCCCCCCCTCACTTTTTTGCAATAATAGGCTAGAAAATGTTTTGCAGATATACTCTAACGTAACTTTGGATAGCTTACTCCTATGCAGTTCTTCTTGACTGGAAACCTTTTATGTTCATTTTCTAGGTGTTTTATCTTGTTTAATGATATGATGTCTTTTCTAACTTTGTTAGCTTGGTGTTTTATTACCCTCCAGCTAATTTTATCTATTTTTATAGTTACTGGTATCTTCTTTGAACCACACTGTTTATAAAAATTCAGTAGAAATAAGCAAGTCTTTTCTAAAAGTGGCTTTTTTCGGCGTTCTAGAGGGCGTGGCCTCAAAAAATTTTCGGGCACACCCATTTCAGCCCCTTCATTTTTCGACTAGTGCGCGGTCCCTGCCGTTAACTGATAATTGTTGCTTGATTAGAGGCATCTTACTAAAGAGAAGGAAAGGAGAAAGAAAGGAGGGTCAAGGTCCAACCTCCTTGTTTATGTCTCACAGTAAAACTGTATAAATAGTTTTTTTAACCCTTTGATTAGCCCCTGGGCATGAAATTATTGAACATTCCTGCAAATTTTGAAAGAAACATTTCTCAATTAGAAGGCAGCACATTTTCACCAAGTAACCGATAACCCCCTGTCTTTTGATATTTTCTTTGTTCATTAGTGTCAATCGATTAAATAGTTTTGAATTATTTTTCATCAGGAATTTTTCAAGACTCACAGCGCGCCAGCGGCGGAAAGAACTATCCAGCAGAGCTTGGAAGCAATCCATCTCAACAAGAACTGGCTAACTCGTGACGAGGACTCTGTCAAAAAATGGTTAGATGAGAATATCTAATTAAAAGCCTAGATCAATAGTCGATGTTGTGATGTCTGTATTAGAAATGAAATGAAATACAAACAGCATTGCATCCAGTTGTCATTTCTCTTAAGTTCTTCTTTTGATGGATTCCCGGAGACATGTATTTGCATTCAGTTTGTTTAGGCAAGTCGAATGAGTCGAATAAAAGCTATTTCATGTTGTTGTTACTTAAATAGCCAGTCCTTGCTGTTCCAGGTGTCAGTCTCGCTAAAATACCACCATTATTAATATGCTTAAACTGAAAGTATTGTTTCACTTTTAAGGCTTAGATGTACATATAAGATTTAAAATGGCAGTTATTTACGAAGGTTGCTTACAATGTCCCAAAAATACGTTTATTCATCTTCCAATGTTTCAACGAAAGCCATCGATGATGTCCAGATGTCACGTGGTATCGATTAAACGTTTTCGGGAAATTCTAGCACATTGGTACCAAACTCAATCACAGACAAGACCAAACTTAAACAAGAACGGCGATGCAAAATAAACATTTTGAAATAACACGGAAAAAGGTGCGCTACACTCTCCCTCGAATGTTACCTTCGACCCGCATTTTTATGTAAATTTCCGCTTATACCCGACGTTTTTACTATGTGAAAAAAAATGGTAAGGGACTCTAGTTGAAGTGCTAAATTCTTTACTATTCACTAAATTTTGTAGATGCAAAGGCTCGAAACATGGGCAAGAGTACAACATGCGCGCTTTAAAACAAGCCATATTCCTTGTGAATTTAATCTTGATTTCCTTAAAATTGCATGCATCTAAATTCCCAAGTGCCAACGACTTCTTTTGTTTAATAAAACCAAACGCATTTGTACAAAAGTTACTTTCCTCTTCGCAATTGCCTTGAGACACTACCTGTTATGCGCGCATCGAAGCTTGACTTCCTTACATTTGGTTGTACATTTTGAATCTACTACAGATCTCACATGCAGACTTGTAGGAAGTTGAAGCGAAATCAAGTGTTGATATTGCCCTGACTTGATATCGTCCTGGTTGTGGAAAAGTGAAAAGGTCCTGTGGCAATATTTCCAATTAAAGAAGAAACAAACGAAATAAGCACGAAGACTCTAAATATTATCAAATGTCAGAATGGAGCGTCAATATCAGGAAAGCATCCGAAGAAGACCATGGCCTAGGCACTTTTCAACAAGGTACACGTTTCGTCGCCTTTCAGCAATCAAACTGATTTGCCGTTTAACTTAATTGATACGAATTTATATTTTGCGAGGCCTAAAAATTTAGAAACGCAGGAAAGATATACGATTAAATCTTGTAAAGTCCTACTCCGGATAACTCTGTCTTTCGCTAAGTTGCACTGGTTTTCAACTCTCGTTGGATTTTCCTACCTCATTGAAGTCAACAGACGTAATCCAGGTAACTCCGATATCCGTTAACTCAGACAATTTCCTTCCTCCTTTTATGGTCTGACTTAATTGAATTCAATTGCATTCGCATTGATCTATTACTTTGTACACAACTTTCTTTTTTCAAAAATCTTATTAACTACCCAGGGGCGTACCTTGACGATTTGGGGGGGGGGTGTAAACGGGTGAATTTACCGACCAACTCTCGCTAGTCGATGTATAACTTATTCTACAGTTATATATTGTGAATTTTAACTGTTTTATTAATATGATCTTGTCACTTACGAGCAAATGAGATCCTTCCACGTGCTATCAAGATACGCATCTACCGACAATCCATAATATTTACCGACCATCCGTAAAATTTACCGACCAACTTTCCAAAAGTAGGGGGTGTAACACCTCTACCCCCAACACCCCTTGGTAGGTACGCCCCTGTAACTACCTGCTGACCGCTGGTGCTTCGAAGATTTTATTCTCGGTTGACTGAGTACAGAAATTCAAGGACTGCGGAGTATATTGCAGATTGAGGGGGCTAAAACGTTTTCAGTGTGCTAAACATGCCAATACCAAGAGAAAGGCGACTTTTTGTGTGGTTTTAAGTACATTTTGGAAATAATTGTGGGGGTGAAAGCCCCACTCAGAACTGCCCCCCAGCTTCCGCGGTCCCTGCAGAAATTCAGAGCATATCCTGGTTTTTTCCTGCCTACAATAAACACTGAGCATCTATTTTTAAGCGAAGAATTTTACTGAAATCATTTGTCGTTGCTGGAGCAAAGTAGCTTTTTGAAGCTTTGTCTCACTATGCGCTTACCTAACAGTCAGCTTAACTCAGTTTCTCAATGTTCAGGGTGTTTCTGCCCTTAAAAACTGTAAACAACAATTGTGATTTCAAGGCTGGCACCATTTGTTCAGCCAGTTTCTTTCCAGTCCACTATATTAACTTACCAGATGATAAAGCGAAGTGCGTTCATTCCTTTCCTCGACGTTTAAAGGCTCTTGCGCAACCGGCATGCTTGGCGGCAGCTGTCTTGAGAAATTGATTATGTTTCGTATTTTTATACAGTGCGATATTAGGCCAGTTTTGAAAATATAGCTGCAAAGCATGCCAGTTGCCAAAGAGCTTTTTATCGCAGATAAATATGGTGAAGTTATTGATATTGAGTTTACGACGATATAAAAGTAAAAACTTTATAAGGCATGCACTCATTTTTTTGATAAAAGAAACTGGCTATAAAAACGAGCACTGGACAGTCAGAAAAAATTGACAAAAAATTAAGTACTCGAAGCAAAAAAATTGAAAAACTATTAAATGGTGATAAAACGCAGAACAACGAAATTTTGTCAAATCCAAGAACATGATTGCCCTGTTGGCCTAGAACTTAAGACACAAGGGATAAAAATATACTTCCCACATCTAAATACAGCATCAGAGGGGAAGCGAATCTCTTGACGTGATAAAAAAGGTCGCAAACATTTCATAACATCATTTACGACATCATAATTAAGGAACTCTTAAGAAACAATGAATATTGAGGTTTCCAGAACATTAAGAAACTGGGGTCCTCAACATCGACCTTTGTTTCGTATAAAAAAATGAGTGCATATGCGAGACAATGAGTGAAGTTGACATGGAACGATATTTTGGGTCAAATCCTTTAAAAATTTATAATTCTATATCTTCATAAGTCACAATCACGAGCATTTGCATCATAAAGTTTTACAAGTTAATTAGAGTGGATGCTTAGGTCCAATTTACCGACCAAGTAGGCGAGTCATCCCTTTTTGCTAACAAGTATGAAAATTCAATATATATATATATATATAGTTGTATCAACATAGTGATATAAATAAGACATGATAACAAATGGTTTTTAAAATGAGTTTATTAACCAAAACGATAAACCTGTTAGCAGCAAATATCAGATCAGGTGTAAAAAGAATTTTTTGAAATAGTTATAAAGTCGGTACCTTTCTAATTTTTGTCAAAATTGGTCAAAAATGCATATTCAATATATCGTTTCCACGCGGGATTCACACTCTGGGTGTTAACTCTTAAGAAGAATGACGAATAAAACCACAATAGTTGCGATGAGTATAAAACGGCCAACAAATAATTACATCTTGATTCTTTAAATCTTTTCTGCTGTATATTGGCGGAAATAAAAACGATATTGGTAAAAACGATATTTTACAAGACGTCCTCGTGGTCCTTCTTCTCGGAAGCGGCAGCAATCAGATGACGAAAAATCTCAGCATTTAAACAATTTGGCATATTTAGGCATACTGTTGTTACATTTGATAAAATCAATTTTGAAAATGGAATATTTTACTCTGAGGCCCCTAGACCTCGAAGCCTTGGGGGTAATTTACACCTCTCCCCTTCCACCACCCCTAGGGGGTCATGGCTGTAGATACTTTCATCTCTGAGTAATAAAGCTTAATCAATTTACAACGTTGTTTTATTTAGTAAAGCTACAATTAGTTACAAAACCTAAAAAAATTGAACAACTAGTTGATTAAGTTTGTATACTTACTATATGCAATCAAATATTGTTTGTTTATCGAGATTGTTTTATTTAATTCCTGTTTCTAAAAAGGTTATGAGCTTTTGATCAGGATTTTCAAGCCTCTTGATTGCAGATAATAGATCTGAACGATTCGCTCCACCTCTATCACGCTTCCATTTGTGTAGAATCTTAACAGCTTGTTCGTAAACGGTATGATAATCCGCTTGAATAACTTGGACCTCGTTTTCACTCAAACCAAGAAGTTTGGCAAGTCTTGTGTGTGCAACACCAATCATTGAAGCAACATCTGATATCTCCAAATCGGTTAGCGGCTCTACGGAAACAAAGGACGAGTACAGGAAAACAATTAGGCACTTTGTGTGGGTCCTTTATCCATGATAAAAGTTTGCAATAAATATTATATGTTTTCAATAAATTAAAATGTGAGAATTAAAATGGCAGATACTGTACCAATCAGAAAATTAAAAAAAGGTGAAAGCAAACTTCCATACGTTGTTCAGCAAATGCTGTTTGCTGTCTCGTTTCTGTGTTATGACAATTTATAATAAACCAGCAGATAGTCAGAGGTTCCTGACAAAATTTCGTAATAAGAGCGAAACAGTAATACTGGACTTTGTCAATTGCTGACTGAAAGTAAAAACTCGTTAAGTAAAAAGCAAAACTTCTGAAGCAAAAAACAAAATCTCTGAAGTAAAATAAAGGTACCTGTCTTTCTTTGTCTAGAGTCTGGAGCATCAGCATCCACCTCTAGCAGATCTAAAATATTTACAAATCAAAACAATATTGTTAGCCTTTGAGTAAATAAAAGAATAATTGGTGATAGAGGAATACAGCAAATGATCTGATGGGAATAAAACTTTTCCCATTCGTTTTTAGGAAGACATACAAAAAGCAATAACTGAAAGAAAGTATGTCCTGGTCTACTAAAAGAAGGTCTGAATTGGAGGTAAGTCTACCGTTTAAAACTACTCCAAATATACTCGTATTGTAATACCATACATTTTATTATACATTTTGATATGCAATTTTTCTGATTTCCGCGCCATCTCGAAATATTGCAAAACAACAGGTGTTTTTGGATATTCATGTTCATGAAGACGGCATGGAATGTTATTTGTAAAACTAAATTTCAACTCACCTAGCGGGGGCTGAATCTGGATCGAATTCACAAATTCGTTACATTTGTGACATGCGATGCTTTCAGGGCAAGGTGCAGTCGTTTTGCGAAAGATGAAAGGTTTTGGTTTACTCTTGCGTACACAACATGGGCAGATACTGTACCAATTGTACAGAACCATGCCATTCCACTCACTAACCAGGGAATAGAGTTTCTGGTGAAAATAGAATAAATTATAAAATGGCATCTTTAAACTCGATGCGACCTACTACGGAAAGGATCAGTACCTAATTTTACAATGACCATCTGGGATCTTTGAAGCAGTTTTCCAATAGACATGTCTATGCTATCTCGAACTTCTCTCTTACACTGACTCAAAGTTTTATCAATCCAATCCTTTTTTATGGCTGTGTGTCATTGCATGAGTTTTGGGAATTTAGAAATAAGTAAACACATGCAAATGCAAGAAATCGAGCGAGGGATCTGCTTTTAAACCCATAATCTTAAATTGAATTAACAGTATATAATCCTTAAGAGTATATCGCTTTTGAACTAACTCTAGGTAGCTAGACTTACGTAGTTCTGAACTAGTTAAGACAATAAATGTCTTTAATTTTGAACAGTTGTGTGCAAATAGAACACTCGGACACTCCTTAGAGTATAAAAGTCTGATAATGACCAAAAAGGTGAGCAGAAATTCAAAGCCTGGCACGGATCAACCTGAAACGGAAGATGAAGAATGAAGCGCTTGGTTAGTTCATTGTTTTTGACCAATCAGAGATCGAGTTGAGCGGTGAAAGAGAAAGGGCCTCTTTTTGGCAAGATAAGTTAGATCCCATTCTTTCAATTTAGAGCGGCTCTAAAACACTTAAATGGAAAGGACTGAAGACCTTTTCTATTTTCGGCTTAAAGCAGGAATGTGACTGTTCATTTCATCCAGCTCTTCAATTCATCACGCGTAAAATTCATTAATGAATCAAGCCCTTATAATTACTATAGAATATCTCAAGTTCATTTTTTACACTACTAATATAAAAAAAAGGAAGCTACCTCTGTTATAAATAGCACAAGCTTCCAAACGTCCCTCACATAGCCATGTTTAGACTTGCCATGTAGAGTCACTGAGCTGTTCAATCTCCCGTTATTAATTTGACAACGGAACTTATAGTGTTGATGAATAATCAAAAATCCGCTCTTCCATGGAATGCAAAGACAGGCACAACTCTGAGCGGAGACTAAAAGCCGGTCTGAAACACTTGTAGGTAGCCGCCCAACACCAATGTCGACACGGGTGACAACGTCACTCTAAATAGAAAGGAGAAGAGCATTTCACTTCATTTTTAGTTAACTATACAAAGTAGAAGTACAATATTAGGTACAAAAAACTCTATCTAATCCGAACTCATATCTTCCGATCTTTTCCTAATTCGACCAACTGGTCGGTCCCCTCAGGAGAATAACCTTTCTAGTTTGACCTTTATTTCAATTTAAAGAAATTAGCTGATTTTATAAGTATTTCTTTTTATTTAATCCTGTTAAATTTAACGTTAATGTAATTGTTGCTCTTATTTTTTAAGTCATTTTCTTTAATAAATTTGTTGAAATTGAAAGATCAAGTTCGCGAAATCTTGGTCTGCCTCGTGTACAAAAATTGTTTTTCTTTATTCACAGTTAAATTGCAAACTGAGACAAAAAGGATAAATGCTATACATAGCTCATGTAGGAATTTCTGAGGCAGAGACAAGGATTCAGGTCTTGATTTGTTTAAACATTTGTCCTCAAAATAAACTGTCATAATAAAAATAACTAATTGTTGGTCCTCGATTTTTGATCATAGCTATTCGAAGAGCAATCAATTTGCTTGATCAAGGAGAACGTGATCGAGCACAACACTCTTAAGTTTGTTTTCAAAGTAAAAGTTAATAAATCTGAAAAGTTCTAATAACTTTGATTTAATTTCATATCAGTACTAGCAAAGTAGATACTATTAAAGTATTGATGTATCTTACATCTTGCTCTGGGTTTCATGTATGCTGCTCATTTTTACTATCAAAGCTAGTAGTTCATACAACATGTAAGAATACTATGATATTTTTCAATGGTTAAAATTAATGTTTTAAATCAGGGGTGGTGCTAAAGGAAAAAGATGTAAGCCCATAACGCTTAATTCTTTAAAGCAAGCGATGAAAAATGTATGCATATGCCAGTAGAAAAGTACGAATAATAATAGCCAAATCCACACAGGTTTTGGGGCATGTTAACTTTCAATAAAATCGACGTAACAAGATTGGCTTTCTTTAAGTGTTTTTACTTGTCTAGAATGTCTAATGTAAAAAGAGAAATGAACTTTGTTTTTGCTTGCTTAAATTAAATTAGTAGCTGAAAATCATGCCCGAATTTCTGGAAATTTGGTATAACAGACGCTGATAATACCAGATGATGTATTTTGAAAGCTAATCTTCGTTTTTTGTTAGTAGTGCAGAACAGAAATTTTATAGTATATATGTATATCACAAGATATGTTCCGTAAAAAGAGAGTAACATAAATTTGATGTTCACTTTAAAAAAAGAAATGGCGGTTTCACGCTAAAAATTTCCTGGCAAACAGCAACAATTTCCTGAAATGAATTTGTGTTAAAAATTTCCTGGCAGCGCCGCTGCCGGACATTTTCCAGCCCTGCAAGGATTGTTGAAAACTCGTACAAATCAAACATTTTTTAATTGGAACATTTTGACAGTCAACCAGAGAGTTCGAATTACACAGAGTTGACTGTAAATTGAATAAAATCCCTAATGCTATTTCAAAATTTATCAAAACAGGCAACAGAAAGAGGATCAAAGCATTGTTCTAAAGTTTGGCTCCTCTAAATGAAAAATACCATGAGATGCACTTTACACAAAAGTTGTTTTTTTTATCAACTCAGATCTGTTGATCTACACTCAGATCTGTTGAAGTACAATCTAGTTTTTGCAGGGTAAACATGACGCAGTAGATCAGCGCAAATGTATTCGATTTTGCCATTGGCATGATATTTTTAATTAAGTATACTGTTTTCAATACAAACGGAGAAAAGATCAAAGTTGGACAACATAACTAGTACAAAAAATATCTAGCAGCAAAAACAAAAGCACAAATTTCCAGAAACAGCGATTTTCAACCTAAAAAATTCGCAACAAATACGAGACAAACTGAACCCATGGCAGCAAATAACATTGTGAATATTGCCTATCACTCGAAGCCGTAGAAATTAAAATGTATGCAACGGATTTGTACTAAGAAGAGGTAGGTGGCCAAATGGGCTTAGCTGGACGGCATAAAAGGAAGTAAGTTAATCACTATGGGTGTCATATCTTATGTATGTAGTCAATTTCAAGTAGGGCATCAGTGTGATGACACCGTAAACAAATTCAAAGGCACATGAACTTACATTCTCTTCAATGTCATGCTTCATCCACAAGTCTTTAGCATCTTTTGGTTCCTCTTCAGCGACAAACCAAGGAATAAAATATGTTATATCATCTGAGGAAATACTCTCCTTAAGTTGACAAATAATACCAAAATGTTGAAACACATCGACAACTTTCGATAAAAAGTCACTGTCTTCAACACCTTTTACTTTTGGAAGCCAGATGCATCTAAAAACAGGAAGATATTGAAAATTGGCAAAGAACGAAATATTTACATTTAAATGCACAAAGCGAATTTCTGAAGCCAGATAAAAGCTAGCAGGCAATATTTCCTTTGGATGTTCTATTAACATAAGTTGACAATAATGCCCTTTTCTTTTTTATCATGCAAACCCCATCTATTATGAGACAAAATTTAGGAACGAAGTCCTTATAAATGATGTTGTGAAGGATTGGATAAATAACAGAGCTCGCTGAATGGTCAAAGCAAGGCTTGAAATGGAAACAAGGACACATATGCGCCAAGGAAACTGTCTATAATTTATTCGCCCGTCGATTTTTGTGCGTATTTAGATGGCCCAAGCGAACCTTGACTGCCAAAGTCTTCCACTCACTAGCATCCGTTATCAGCAGATTCTACCATCCAAACCTGCTGATGGCTTTAGCGTTTTGAGCAATTGAAATTATACCATCTCAATGCAATTTTCAGTGTTATTGATACACAAAACGTTTAATGGTTTCACTTAAGTCTAAAATATACGGCATTCGATTTATTCTTGGTGTATTAATATTCCTTGCAAGTTGAAATTTGTTTTTAATAATAGGCTAAATAGCATACCTCTCACCAACTGTGGCTTACTTAATACTTCTAGTAACTTTTCAAAACAAGCTAGAGAGGGTCAAAAAAATATACATACGCTTTGCTTAATGATATTTTCATCATAATACGCTTTGCTTGGAACTAATGTTAGGAGACTTGCCTATTGCAGTTGAATCCCGTTAGGTCGGACCGTCAAGAGGGATAAGAAAGGGGTCTCACTTAGTGAATGTCTAACTCATCCGGGGTAAGACCTGAATATGTTAGGAAGTTCCAACGGGAAATTAAAATCAGTCCGACCTAGCGTAAGTTATCCGGGGCAATTTAACTGGATTCAATTGAACCTTGAAATCCTTTTAGCGCTCTCTAATAAAGCCCTTATATCGCACGCAGATCATACAGTTGAACTATGGTTCATTTCGTGTGAATCTGTGAAAACAATCTTTGTGACCCCAAAACTGGCACTGTTCGATATGCAAATGACCAAATTGGGGTGTAGTCTTTAAAACTCTAAACTGAAAAGCCAGTAAATCTCTAAACTTCACAAAAAGCCCCCTCCTCTATCAAGCCCCCAATAAGTGAGAGCCTTCATGATAATGCTTTTATGGTATTCGCTAATCAAAATGATGATAGTACATACAAGTTTACTTTGTCTGAAATGCAGTCTTTTACAAAGTTAATATGTGCGAATTCATAGAGGCACCGCTCTGACGTCATGAAGCTTCCAAGTTCCAATGAGTTAGCATAATGCCACCATATGAATGATACAAACATATGACGGAAAATGACAATGACAATGTCAATTCATAATTGAAGGAATTATGACTCGTTCTTACCTCAAAAGAGTTTGTGATAAAAGACCCTTTTCCAAAAACAGCTCCTTGTCCTGTTGGAAGAGATCATTGGAAATACGAACTTCCTTTTGGATTTCGTTATTGTAGTTCAGTGTCGTCGAGTGATCAATTCTGAATAACATTTGAAGCAACTCAACCAACCATTCTGGGTTAAGAAATACCAGATGCTTGGCTAGCCTTACTTTCTGGAAGTAGCAAATTAGACCAATATCATTGAAATAGCTAAGGGCCAAATAAAAGGAACTCTCAGTAAGGTTACATGACTCAGCACAGGTTTCCAACAATGTCTTCACTGGCATAAAATTGGTTGCTCCATGTTTAAGCGATAAAACCTTTTCTTCCAAGGATAGCCAGTTTTCTGGAACATCTTTCGAAACAATTGGACATAGTACCTTGTTTTCTGCAATGCGCTCTATTTCTTTACGCAGAATAGCGACACCATCAAGGTCTTTTTTACAACAAACAGGTACCAATGCCATCTTTTCATCGTCAAAATTTTGAGTTTCGTGGTCCTGTAAGAAAAAGGGAAACATTGCCATATCGATAAAACAGAAAGGGGGTACAGGGGGGATGACTCTTGGCTAAACTTTAGACAGGGGGCCTGCCACGAGCGCATTCAAAGTGGTACCGTTGGCTAGACTAATTTTACGAAAATTGTCCTCTTAGCTAGACCAATCTTTGCAAAAAAGGATACCCTTGGAAAGAGTAATATTGAAATAAAAAGGATAGACTTATGATGAAAGACGATACATTTTGCTAGATTCATTTCAAAGTCATTCGAGTTTGAAGATATCTCTAAATTGTTGGTTGAACTTTGTAAATCTAAAGGTCGATTTATTTCATTCACTAGTTCTTATCAACAAAAATGGGTTGGCATGATGAAATTTAAACTTTTAAAGGCCGATCATTAGGCCCTTGGCTGGATACTGCTGAAAGACTAGAATAGTGCATTTAGCAGACTTGTATGAACTATTAAACTATAAATGTTGATAGTAATTGGACGGTACAACTCAAATTTTTGAAATGAAACTGAATTTTGAATTACAATTTAGAAATTTTTGATTGGTTAGTTATAAGTAAAAAACGAAAAACCATACCTCTAATGTAGAAATGAGAAGCAAGGACAGTTTTGGCCTTGTTTGCTTAAGATGACTGAGCTTTTCCAACTTTTCTTTCAGATTTTCATTAAACCTGATCAACTTCATTTCATTCTCTAACACCTGGATTCTCTCCGTCTCTTCATTCCTAAGCTTTTGCAATAAACTCTCACATCTTGCCATATAGTCAATGCCTTTTCTTTTGCAAATGTCAAGATGTGTCGGAACAATAAGAATTGTAGCTCCTGGCACCTGACTTATTACTAGATTAATCCAGTCACCAACCATTGTATTGTGATTTGATTCATCTTTGTACTCTGACAAATCCACACAGAGAATAAAAAGGACTCCTGTGAAATAATTTTTAGAATGCTGGTTATTAAATAATAATTATAATTAGAAATCAATGTATGGGCAAAGAAGTTGAGCCTAACCTATACAAAACAACAATTTTTGGAGAATAAGCACTGAACATTATTAGAGTGGCAAAGTTTAACAAATTAAACTTGAAATTAATGGCTTAATATTTCTGCAATTAAAAAAACACAAGTTTAAACAAAATTGCTTTTGTTTGAAGTTTCCTAGGTCATTCAATGCCTTTCAAAACTTCTTGTTCATCCATCTTTATTGTGACTTGGAAATGTTTTGCTTACCAAAAAGAAGAGGGCCTGGGCCCAGTGGATGACTGTAATGAGGATACTTACCCTGTGCAAAGAAAAACTGGTGTGTCAACAAATACTGCCTTTGCCCTGCACAGTCCACAAGGAGAACTTCTATAGGATCTTCAAGAGGTTTCAGCTTCCAGGTATAATAGTCAAGACCCACAGTACGATCATCAGGCTGAATGTTCCCATCCTGACCATAAACAAGCGCATGAACAAGACTTGTTTTCCCTTGAAACAAAGAGGAAAAATAGTTCATGCTTTGATATTTCTAATTGGTGTTAATAGGCATCCCTATTGACAAAAAGCCAATTTTATATTGGCTTTTTGTCAATAGGGATGCCTATTATACTCCAAAGAGGCGCATATTTTGATGTTGAGTCGTCTTTTTCTCGTCTCTTTGGTTCCTCCTCCACATTTCTGTGCCACTCCACCTTCTCGGCAACCCTTGGTGCCACAGAATCCCTTGGCAGTCCGCCATTAGTTATAAAACATCTGTAAGTAACCCATTAACTTTCCTGACCTCATAGAGGCTGGATAGAGAATAACTACTATGTAGAATTTTTGTGTTCATATTTAATTGTTAAATGTGCTTCTAAATTATGCAAACCGCCTTTATGCCACAGTTATGTCAAATGCCAAATAGATAAACTATTGGCCATACTCATATATACTGATAAAAATAAGCTTATGAATATTTTCTGAAATCAACATTGGACCTAAATTGACATATGTTGTAGATATTTCAGGTGCAGTTTCCAGTCATCTCTAGGAAGTTATACTTTCAAAATTTTTCAAAAGACATAGTGGCGGCTTTCACTAAACACCTTTACAAAATTGACATTAAGGCATAGTGATAAAGGAAATTTTTCAAAAAATTTCCTTGGATCTTTTTCGTTTCTAAATCCATGTTATAAAGGCCATCTAAGAACCTCATATTTGTAAAATATTTCTTGTCCCGGACCATGGTGGCGACTTTAATTAAACCTTTGAACAATCTAAACATCTGGGCGGCATAATGATATGATAAGAAAATTTTAGGATCTTCCTTTCAATCTAAACTGATATTGAAAATATTTAAGATGCAGTTTCCTGCAGTCCCTAATATAACACCATAGAATGGAAAAAGAAATATTTTTTTCTATTCTGTGGTTAAACCTCCAAAAATTTATGATTATGGCCTTCACAAAACCCCAATACAACCTTAACACTGCCCCCCCCCCACTTTCAATCATGTTTTAAAACACTGATAGAGTTGCACAGTAGGCATAAACTCTCTAGCGGATGCCAAAAAAGATTGCAGTGCCAATTTTGACCCACCATGCCATAGGTATTTGATTTGATTTTTTCCTGAGCCAACTTTCCCCACAGTGATTGGGGCTCATACTGGTATTTTTTTACTACCCACTAAAGCAAGGGGCAAGTTTTCCGTGTAGCAAAAACATATGGAAAATTATACAAACTATGACCTGCAGAAAAGTAATGTAGCCTGTTGCAGGGCTTATGGTCACAAAAACAGCCTCTTCTTCGTGACCTGCATTTTACATGAAATGCTGACCTGCAGATTATAGCTGCCAGTAAATTTACTGAAATATTGCATCCTGGAATAACTACAACTGGGAAAGCATTCTTTTTTGTCAGGAAGGTCAAGTTTAGAAACAGTGCCTTTCTTAAAAGTGGCTTTGACACTACTATAATATATTTTTGCAAGAGATGAAGAAACTTTTTCCGTAGAATAACATGATTGGGAAACAAAATTAGTGTGGTGAATTGAAGACAGTGGCATTAAAATATTTACTGAAATTTCATGACTGTTAATTTACCTGCAAATGATTCGCCAATTAGAACAGCTTTGAGCCTCCTACATAGCTTTCCTTTGGAATCATGAAGTGCTTCAAAGAAATCTTTAATTGATTTTTTACCATTTGCACAAATTTCAGCTGGAGGATGGTGAAGAGGATTCCCTGCTAGCAGCAAGGCATCATCATGTACATCAAGTTTACACAGTTCTTTTGGTAGGGCAGTTATTCTGTTGTCACATAAGTTCAATTTCTTTAGTTGATAAAGTTCACCAATACTTGCAGGTAGAGAAGTGAGTCTGTTTCCCCTGAGTTCCAGATGTGTCATATTGCACATCTTACCGATTTGAAATGGCAAGCTTTTAATTTCATTAAAGGAGAGATACAATTTGTGTAATGACTTCAAATTCAAAATTGATTCTGGAAGCTCTGATAATATATTATTTGACATAACTAATTTCTCTAGATTTTTAAGTTTGTCTATGTCTTTGGGTAAATTTGAAATACAATTGTTTGATAGATCAAGTGTCTCTAGGCACTCTAGGAAAAGAACTTCCTTTGGAAACTGACTCAACTTGTTAGAACTAAACTCTAGAAACCGTAGTATCGGACTGAGCTTGTTGCTCACGCTGGATATCCCACAGTTTTGCAGAATTAGTGTTTGCAACTTTTGTAGAGGTTCAATATTTTCCAATAACCCAGTGGAAACATTATCATCATTGTCAAAGTGTAAGTATTCAAGGTTTTGAAACTTCCCCAAAATTTCAATAAACTGTTCACAATCGTAGGAGATCTTTTCAAAACTCTGAGGAGATCTTCTGTCTTCTAATTCGTCGTCTTCTTCAGCCACTCCATTCGGCCTTATTTTAAGCCGTACCAAAGATGTCTTGTTTTGTAAATGTTGTGTAAGCAAACCAATGTCCTTTATATGGATTTTAATTTCACTGACACTTCCTTTCGCCAAGGTAGCCACATTATAATCCCTGTCAACATCATTTGTTGTGAAATCCAGTTTAACATCTTCATTTGTATTGGTAGGTTCATGTTCGTTATGTTCCGTTGATTGATGGCCTCTTGTAAAACTTCGTCTGATATGACTGAAGGCTCTGCTTGCAAAATTAGAATCCATCTGTCGGATACAGCCTCTGAGATTGCTCTTTTCGAAAGAATATGTCTCAACACCGTACTCCAAGAAAGTAGAAGATTCCTTTGCGAAGCGACTTCACTTGACAAGGAAATGATAGACCAATTCGACTTACGGCCTCGTTTTGAAAAAATCTTCAAATTCTTTTGTACAAAATTTTTAACCTCAGATTCAGAACTAGACGATCGGCTAAACATTGTTGCTGGATCCGTTTTAAAACAGATCAACCATTATTTTCTGGAATTTCGACGTGACCTAAAACACCGCAGCAAGCACCACGACTGTAAATGCTTGGAATTTGCGAATGACGGCTTATTTTTCCAATATTAACATCAATTCATAGTAATCATACAATTCATACAAATCCGTAAGTCCAATGTAAGGCCACTCACCAAATTTCATATAGATATTCGAAAGAGAAGTGAACGGAATCAATCCTTACTTGTACCAAATTTATAAGGGTTCAGTATGGAGCAAGTTCCTTTTTGCCACTATTAAAAATGGCGGAAGTAAACAAATTTGCCTCACAGTGTACCTGTGAGTTAGACATCTAGCGCCTTCGGCGCTTCTATATCATTGATATGAGGGTTCTCTTCCGGAAAAGAGGCAGAAATGGAAAAGAGACTAACTTCAAACCTAATTCGCAGCTTTTTTACATAAAAATTAACTGTCAAACAAAAATTAACAGGCATGCTGGAGCACATTTTGAAGTGAAGGTACTTAGACGAGTTGGCAAACTCTTATCGTAGTTTGGAAGCGGTTTGCGTAGTAGAGCCCTGGCCCTGGAAAATTTTCCCTTTTTTACTACATAGTAACTTAAAAAACACACGAATACAAGTTTGAAAAATACATTCATCATTTGAAAAGTAGCATAGCGAGCAGTAATAAAAATATATTCATCGCCATAACGGACACAAGTCATTGATGTACCTTACTAAGGGTTAATAAAATGTCTATTATGCATTTGGAATTCAAAATTAGGTTTTATGGAAGTACAGTGCGTATAAAGTCATTTTCACTGAATTTTCAAAAGTTTCTTCGATTATTTTCGTTTAAGTCAGTAAATCGAGTTGCAACCTACACTAAGTTAAGGTTGTCTAGCCCGAGTTTGTGTATGTCTAATACACAGACGTTATTGCAGGACCGGCGAAAGGTATTTGAAAGTGGAGGGGCCAAATATCAAAGTCTTGAAAGGGCTTAGGTTAGGCCACCATCACGGTTAGCGGCAAGAAAGATTTTAGAATTATTTTAACATAGGGATGGCCAAACCCGTGTCTAAAATGGATTTTGACTAAAGGAAAATCCGAGGCAATATTTTTAAGCATTTTATCATAAGCATGTTCCATTGTCTCGTCTTTTGTTATATTGACTTAGAAAAGGAAAGCTAACGAAACTCTTTTTTAGATTTTAAAAGTACCCAAAATAAGAAGGAGGCGAAAATCAATGAAACAAGGTTTGAAAAACATGGAATATCAACAGAAGAACTGTCAGCTAAAATAGAAGGTTAAGCAATTTGTACACTTGGAATATTGTTTTGTAACATCTGATCTTAAGTATTCTGGAAAATATTAGCCTAGATCGAAAACTCTACGCTAGGAAATATAAATATACCCAGTTGTGGATCGAAATAGGCCACCGAATAAATATCAACAAACAAATTTGGATTTTAAAAATTTAGATTGCGCTGGTCAAAAAGAGTTTTAATAAGATATTTTCTTGATGTTACTAGAACAAAACTGCCTATTCTTTTTTCCCATGTCCTTAAAAATTTTCATTTCATCAGTCTCTTTCCCTTCAGCAGTGATTTTTATCTTTTTGTAATGTTTTTGAGAAATTTTTTGGTAACAAATAGTGGTAATAGAAACTTTAACGAAAACGAAACTCCGTCAATTTGTGCTGGCACCAAGTTATTCTTGATAAGGTTTCTTAATCTATTTCCTAAACCAAGCTGTTACTCGCTGTACGTTATTTCTTCGATCTAATTCCCATATTCAATTTTACATGCCTTCTATGGTAAAGAATACTAGACACAGTTACTTGCAAAATGATATACTACATTTTTTCCACTTTTGCATAAAGTTTCCCTTTAGCTCTGCAGAAAAGATAGGAGGCCATGCCCCCCACTGGCCGCCCGGATTCGCTGGCCATGTATAGCCCTGTATTCAGGGGCGTAACTTGCAGACATCGTAGATTGGTGCCCTGCAGACATCGTAGCAAAGGTTTGTCTATAGGTTACTAGTGAAAGCTTTACCAGTGTAAATTTGTCTTTACCAAGAACAAACTTCTAACAATAAAAACAAACTAACTTTTACGTGAGCGTAAATTAAATGTCAAATTTGATTTTCCTTTGTAATAAAGCTTGTATTTCATGGCATATCAAGTTTAGTGAGGTAGGAGGTTGGGTCCGACGTGAAGAAAATTTGACCTTGTAAAAGGTCTAAAAAGCATCTCCCAGACTAAAATTTAGCAAAATACAATACTGCTAAAAAACTGATTATTGTTTATTGGAAAAATAGGGAGGGGGGATGGTATGCTAAAACTCTAGTGATGGACGTTGTAAACGGAAACAAAGGGTAACCTTTCTTTTCAGATTGCAGATAGTTGTGAATGACAGAGCAAAGTTGTTTTGATTGGAAAAATTTTATTTTCTGAACAGAAATGTGCAGTTTCTTATCTCGAGAATGCTATGTTTACACTTCCAAAATGTAAACATTGCAATCACACAGAAAATGTTTTACTGAAATAATGCAAATAAAAGAAAAATAATAAAAAATATACGTGAATAAGTTAGCAATTAGATCAAACAAAATCGGCATCTTAAACTTTTATTCTCTTTTTATTTCATACACTGTTAAAAAGTTATATCAAAAATAACAATTTTTTTTTATCTTGACCAAAGTGACTTCAGCCCTCTACTCCCCCATTGGCGCCGTACCTGTCATGAAAATAATTTACAACTTAAATTAATTTGCGTGGACTCAACCTTGCCCTCATAAACTTATGCATCAATCATTGCATCCATTGGCTATGACTTTTGGTAAGGAATGCTTTCGCTTTGCGGAGCTCTTCCTGACATACCTGTTTCGTTCTCTAAAATGCAATGTCAGGAAGGGAGGTTTATAACAAATATAATATTTCCATTTCAAAATTCGTAAACGGCCCTTTACGAACTTCAGAGGTGGCGTTTCTGCGTGGTAATAAAGCTCTTCTTGGCGCCCTGCGATATCTTCGATTGCCCTGCGAAATCGGCTATTTTTAAGATTAGAGGGGTGTCACACCCCCCCCCTCACTCCCCGGTATTTTCGCCCCTGCCTGTATTGAACCCTTCTTGACCTCATCTTTGAACGAAGCCACGTTTTCATTATTTTTGCTGTGGAAAACGACCTTACCCCAGTGGCACTTGTTGCAGGATTTACACGCATCATAAGCTTGACCACTGCCACTCAGGGGCGTCGTGGCCAATGAATTTTAGAGTGGGCCAGGAAGGAAAATTTTGCGACAAAATTTATTTGTATTATTCAAATAAAAAAGAAGCATTTCATGTAAGTGTAGGGGGGGGTCATTTATTTAGACTTTCTAGGTTGTTTCGACTAAAAAAATTTTTTTCGAAAAATTTCAACCTTTTTTGAACTTTTTTGCAGGTCCGGGGTCATGAAATTTTTCAAAAATGACTAAGTCCTTATCTTCAAAATAAGAGCCTAAAATTCACCGAAACTACCCAAAATGTTGTTCGGAACGTGTATTAAGAGTTTCTTGGTTGTTTCGAGTAAAAAAATTTTTTTGAGAAACTTTAAGTTTTTTGAACATTTTTGCAGGTCCGGGGTCATGAAATTTTTCAAAAATGGCTAAGTCCTTATTTTCAAGATAAGAGCCTAAATTCATTGGACGTATATTTGGATGAAAAAATTATGGAAGAAATGCTTTTGCTGACACCCAGCCTCATCTTAATACAAAGTTATGCCAACTTATCATTTAATGAAAATAAGATCTTTGATGAAGTCATAATGAAAATACAGATTTCGGCAAATCATGCTTAAATATACATCAATCGAAAGCTTGCAACGAGAAGAATCAAATTATGTAAATTGCGTCAAAAAATAACACTCCAGTAAAGAGCTAGCAACGATTCTGTCTGATTTTTTACCCTTAAATGACGTCATCTGTACCGTGACATCTAGGCATTTTCAAAAAAGTCACCTGGCAGATTATGAAAGCCTGGACTCCCTACTACAAGAGTCCGTTGAGAAAGTAAACATTAGCTTGAATGTCAGATTGTCAGGCTATATGTCCTGTCTACATGGCTTCTGTTTGTATTTACTCACTAAAATTTTTGTTTTGCAAAGGCTTACTTTTATCTTGACGGATTTCACAAATTGTTGCAAACTGCAAACCTTTTTCGCATTTTGCGATTCATTCATGGAATATTAATTTTATTGTGTTTTTGTAGGAACAACAAAGTAGAAAGTAAAACATATGGTCCTTTAAGTATACACCCAAAACTCGAGTTCTTTATCAGGAACATTTATAAAGTTTAGATAACTTCACTGAAGCTTTTCTTTTCAACGCTTGGGGCTTGTTCAAATGGACCGAGCTTGTCCGGTTAGGCATTCTGCGCTCCTCTTTTCCAAGCTTAAAATTCTGTAACTTTGATACGCATTCTTCTTTACAACTTCTGAAACCGTGAACGTTTTATGGCAGAAACCGTGAAAATATTAATCGCTACTTTTCTCTCATTCTTCTCCTCGCTCAGTTTGCGCCCCAGGGGAGTCACTCAAACTTTTTATATCTTGTTCTTGAACACATAAGCGACCGTTGTCCGTTGGGTATGAGAATTCAGTCCATTTCCTAAAGTAATTAGTTTAAACACATCTGTTCCTTTATTCTGTCTCTTTTTTGATATTGTTATGTTTTAGTTCAACCCATAAGTCTAAAAAAGGCGCATGGTTAAATCAGGTACCCAAAAGTATCAGATCACAAGGAATGTTCTTACCTATAATTATCAGATGGACCCCATGTATATAAAAAGGTTCAAGTGACCCCCCTTGGGTCTGTGCGCAGGCTAGTTAGTAAAGCCTAGCCTACTCCAACATGATGTGGAGGGAGGATGAAACTTGAGTTTTGGGGTATTGTTATAATCTGTAGAGAGAAGAAGAACGAACCATAACAAATTACTGCAATAAGTGCACTACAAGCAAAATATGCACTTCAGATTTTGGACATAGATGATGCTTATCAAAGCACTAATCAGAATCAAAGAAAAAATCTGTACTATGATACCAAAATTATTAAACAATCAGCTGATCATCACTCTTACATAAAATAGTAAATTATGTGTTTCTTGTCCTTTGTTGTATTCAGTAGCATAAAGAAAAAATATATCACACTGAAACTTGGAAGTGGAATGTTAACCCTAAAACAACCTTTTTTAATAGCAACTTATCCAGTTTTAAAAATTCCAGATGTTGAAGTTCCATTTAAATTGTTTGTATGGATGCCAAATCAACCAACATAAAACTTGAAAAAGTCTATCTAATTAGTATCTTAGACCTTTGTCTACAGTGGTTGGAATTTTGAGGTCTATAGCCTTTCTTCAACAACAAATTTTCAATTGCAATCACGCTTTTCAACGTTTTTCAGGAAGAACCACACAAGCAGCTTCAAAATAAACACTCAAATGGATCATTTGTAAATCAAAAATGTTTACAAAATCACTGAGAGCAAATAAAATTAATTACCATAAAATTACTTTATTACAAAATGTCTTATAGTTCACAAATTAGAGAATTGATAATATTTAATTTGCCACAGAAAGTTTGATCAGCTCACTGTTAAGAGGGCTTGAGAATTAACTGTTCAGAATGACTCTGCCATCAAGAATTGCATGAAAGTGAGGTTCCTGTGTTGGAGAAAAAAGAAAAATTGTACTAAACAATTGGAAATCATGTCACGAACCAGTGGTGATTTCTAGGGCGGAGTCAGCTCTTCCAAACAATTCTACATTTATTCTAGACATTCTAGATGAAAGATCTAAATATGCAGAGGTGGATGCAGAAGCATAAGTCAGATTTTTACAACAACAAAATAAAATGGAAACTATCAAAATTTTTAATCAATAGTTTCTTTGGCGAATTCTTTAGCATTGTCCGTCCTAGATCTGCATCTTTGATACCAACAACATGCAGAAGACAGGGCATATCTTTTGCTGACTATCTTTCGGTCTCAGCACAGAATAGTCGAGTAGCAATTCTAGGCATTAATCTGGTCCGTATTTTCTGAATCTAGAAACTTGTTTATCCCTTGAGAGCCAATCACCGTTTGTTTGACCTATGCAAACGTCTTGTAAGCCAATCACAGTTTACTTCACTTATGCAATCTTTGGCGTGAGCATAGGTGAGATTTGATTTATCCAATCAGTAGCTGAGCTTGCCTCTGCAGCGGTACAGCCAACCAATAGGAACCCGAGTTGACCTAGACCATTGTTTACAGTGGACCTATGCAATTGTTTGTTGCAACCAATTGAATAGAAATGGACAATCAGCTAAGTCAGTATATATTACAGGGACCGTTCTGTAGTGCTGTTGCATGACCACTGTGTTCAGAATGTGGGGGACCCTGGCTCTAATCCTACAGGGGTCAGGCAACTCAAAAGCCTTTTCCTTTGAATTGCAGGTAAATTTAGTTTTTTCTTTGTGAGTCGTTTCCTTAGAATTCCTTTTGGAACCCCCTATTCAATATCAGTGATACTAATTTAATTCAGAAAAAGTTGGGCGTTTCCAACACAAAAGGGCGTGGTTTCTCTTTCTGACAACCTTTGCATAGGTCAGAATTTGCCAAGATCTCAGAAGTATAAATGGATCTCAACCAAATTTATGGAATGGAAAAGAATCAGTTTCCATGTAGCTTTTGAGTCACAGATCAGCATTGACACCCTAGTGAAAGATAAGAGTTGTCAACAGGACCGTCGAGAGGGGGGGGGTAACCAGGGTAGTTACCAGGGGGCCCGGGGCCTTGAGGGGCCCGTATAAAATAAGGTATGTATTTTTGGCTATGAGTTTTCAATTAGCAGCATTGGCAGGGCAGGCCCATGACCCGATTTATATTCGAAATTTAATCTTTCGACACGGAATCAACAAGCTGGTCTATGATGAGGGCCTTTTCTTGTTACGGTTTATAATTAAAACATTGACGATACGATCATAATATACTTCTCCGGAAGCCGAAAAATTCGATTGCACTTACATATATCTACTTTTATGTCAAATGTTTTAGTTATTCCTTCTGTGGACATCCTATAAACGTAAACCTAAATCTTCCATTCACGGCGTACACCAGAGAAAAAGCACATGCAAAGAACCAAGACAAATCCAAACGCTATAAAAGACTTTATCAAAATCACTAAGCGGGATCACGATCCAACCAACCCCTGCGATGTCATCTTACAGGCACAAGTCTGGTGCTCAAAAAAGGCAGGAAAAAAGATGCGAGAAAAAGAAGCAAAGAAAGCCTCTCGCACATTGTTTGAGGTAGGTGCTTACAAAAGAGACAAGGAAGGCGATTCAACTTTAAATAAACCTGTTGAAAGCTCTGTTCAAAGCACTGCTGAAGAAGAAGAAGACACAAACGGCTTGGCTGCTTCGGTAGACCATGACACCACAGAAAGTAGAGAAAGAACTACTGATTCATCATTAATCAAGATACTGTTCATAGTGGATCATCTAGTTTTGATGTCGGCACATTGTCCGAATTTCCAACGATAAAGGAGTTAGAAAAGGTTGTTAGAACTGGTCATTTGCCTCATCCTCCAGAGTTTCCCAAAGATTGCGATGGCCACAAATTTCCAACAATGGTCCTTAATGTGAAGCAGCAAAATGGGGAGGTAGTAAGACGAAGCTGGCTTGTTTTTAGTCCTAAAAAGGCTGCACTCTACTGTTTGCCATGCAGGCTGTTTGGGCACACTATTAATAATGGTTCAAAATCAAAATTGGCTTCTCCTGATGGTTGGGGAGCGAACGACGGCTGGAAAAGATTGTGGGAAAAGATTAAGGATTTCGTCATGAGGAAAGCAAGAAAAGCAGTTTTTTAAACACTAAATTAACTCTGCATTTTTAAACTGATTTGTTTTATATAGTCACTAATTACATGTTCTGTTAAAGACCTTAAAATAAGAATTCAAGTGTTTCAGGGGCGTTGATCTCAAAGTTCATGCCTTTTACAGTCCATCTAACTGCATTGCTAAGGGCGTAACCCAAAAAAGGTTTTTGCAGCCTTCGACTGTGGGGCCCCACGACAGTCCCAGCCCTGGGCCCCAGCCCGTCTCTCGACGGCCCTGGTTGTCAAGAAAAGTTATCTAGAGCTCCTATTTACAGGACTCTCACAAATGGAAATAGAAATGTTCCATTCTGTTTGTTTTATCATGTATTTTTTTCTAGTTTTGTTATGATGATACCCTGTAAGTTTTAACGGTTATTGAATGGTTGCAGTTTGTATGGATGGCCTAATGGCTGTCTTTACAGTTGGGTTTGCTTAAGCACAAGAAACCACAATCTCTCTTGTGCAACTGCACCTGGAACACAATTTGTTGATTTCTTTGTAAATCAGTGTAAGAATTTTCAAAACAAATTCTTACTATTTGCTTCTGAAAAAATAATGATTGTTGGTTGTGTTACTTCTCTGTAATTTATTAATAATCCCAGTCAAGGATATGAATTTCCATTTCTTTCTAGTATTCCAGATTTTGTGCTTAGGAAGCTAAAAAACTGGCAAAAGAATATATCATACTACATTCAACAACATTACCAATTGATGAAAATATAAAAGGATACACAAAAACATACCATTAAAGCCTACAATAACCCCTGCTTATTGCATATTTCTGATATCCTGAAACTGCCAGAGTTACAGCATAAATACCAGCAGCTATGAAACAGTTCCTAAAAGAATAAAATTAAAAATTAGAGCTGAATTAATCTGGCAAAGCAGGCAATGTAAATAATGATTAAAAACGACTGAAAGGTAGCAAATATGAAAAACTGGAAAAGGATGATACTTGATAATAAATAGAAAATGTGGTTCAGACAATCAATTTCTTTTATGATAATTTTGAAAAAATGAAAAATATTTTTGATGATTGCAAGAATATATAGCTAAACTTTTCATGATTTGCAAAACAATACATATTCATTATCAATCAAAGATAATAATATATTCAAATGTATACAAATTTATAACTACGTTGCAGTCCCATGATAATCTTTCTCTCCTTTAACAATTGGGACATCTTCAACCAATGCCACTGATTCTACTTTATAAAAGATTCCTAGAAGAACCTAGAAAGCAATTTGGATACATGATAAAAATTAGTGTCATAGTGTCAGCTAACTGAAAAATTTTAAACAGATAAGAAAATTTATTGTTTAAAAAAAGTGTGATAAATGTTTGTGAATAATTCTACAGTATGATGGTAAAATAGCTGTTATGTCTACAGTAGGACTGCCTAATTTTCTAGCTTTTCTTTTCGAATATTTTCAAATTTTTTCTGAATATAATTATATCAATTGTGAAAAAGGACATAATATTTATGTGGCCACAAAATAACCTTAAATTTCTAGAAATGGAAAGTGTAATTACGAAATTGGTTAAACAGGAGTCCAGGCACTTCATAAAAATCTTGTTTTTATTGAACTATTTTTTCCAAGAAATGAATGTTACGACTGATCTTTTATTATAAGCAAAGAAAACAGAAGTATACTTCATACTTTTGTTAAGTTTGTTTAATTCCAATCTTTACATGTAATTCATTTCTTAATTAGACCCGTAGATCTCAAGGCCTAGATCTAATTTGCCCCTCTGCCTGCCCCTCTCAGCAGCCCTGATTATAAACCACATTTCCCAAAAATATTGTTCATGGGTGACTATCTGGTAAAAGCTCATTGATCCCCCTGTCTTTCTTGACAAAGAACTTTTTCTGAATTCAAACTTAACTGAATCTTTCTTAATATTTACTGTTGTTTGCTTTTAGCTTGATCCACTAATTAGAACTCCCCATTAATTTTTGAGAGGCAATTTGAATACCTAAATATTTGTATTGTATGACTCTAGCATATTCAGTCTAATACTCATAAAAATATTGATTATATCAAAATTTATTTGCTTTCACAAGAACTAACAAATTCAAAGTTCTAATTAAATCAGTTTATGCAAACAGTAAACAAAAGTGAACAAATATCTTCTGTACTTTAATGATTGGTAGATTACATTTCCCTTAGCAGTATTAGCATAAAAGGATTTGAATAGATGATAAAATATCAAATGGAAAACGACTTTTAAATTTCACGTTTAGTATGGCTTCCAGTCTTATGTCTTTATCAAACAAAGGCTTTCAAAAAAGAATCAAGAAACACTAGAATACGGTGTGTTGTAATGTGGAAGACGAAGAAGGTCTGGCCTTAGGCCATGTTATTTACTTATCATATACAATTATGTGACTTTTTAAGGTGTTGTTGTTTTGTTTAAATTTAAACATCATACCAGCATTATGATTCCCCAAATGCTTATAACAAAGCAGCAGTTTGCTAACTTCGGTCCACAGATTCTAGGCATTCCCATTTGAATAGTAGACACTGTTGGGTTAATTTGGCTGTCTAACAATCTTTCGTAAGACATAACAATCATTCACAGTTTCTTCTTCATTCCCCGGTAGAGGTCATAGGGTCATGCGCAGGCTATTTGCGCATCTTAATGGAGGAAACTGCTGACCACATGTTGACAAGAGAAAGCCACAGACCAGAACAGGAAGTAATCTCTCAAAGCTTGGAAAGACAAAGGTAATACTACCATTATTGATTTCTTATAAAAGGTGAACGATACACAAACTCAACCTCAAACTGGAAAAATGTTCTGGAAAAATTACCATAAGTGCGAGTTATCTAGTCATGTACCACTCCCCTGTGTGGATTTCATGGCCCTTCTTGCTTATATTTCTCTGAAACAAGGACCGAGATACTGGGGGTCGGGGGTCGGGGACCGGGGGACCTTGGCCCCCCAACAAACTTAAGTTCCATAAGTAAAATACTTTTATTTTGTAAAATATGGCTGTTGTTACACTGATTTATCAGGGCTGCCCCCCCTAAATAAAAAGTTGTATCTCAGTCTTTGCTTTGAAACAGTGCTGGTGCCTCTCCAATTATTCTATCCTTCATGATGTATTCTACTTCAACCCTTCATAAGTTGAGTGAAGGTCTGCGAAGTATCATATGGCAATTAGTGAGTTAGAGACATAAATTGAAGGTGTCTGGCACTTCACACTTGACAAGTATCACCAATTTGGTTTGTACAGATTAAACTCAAGCTGAAACTCAAAAATTGTTTATCAGAAAACAGGATATTGCTTTTGCTTACACCAATCCTGTTTCAGTCACACCCAGAGGTGTCATGGGTCTAGTTTTTAAGTTGGAGAATGGAATCAGGAATGAGGTGTGTCTACACATACATGGCTAATTCAGGTTTTAGAAAGGGTGGTATTGATTTGAATGAAGTAGGTCTGCCATAATATCTAATCAGAAAACCTGGCCCTGTTATACCCTGAGTCATGCTGTGGGTGTCTCTTGTGGGCTCAGTGAAAGTTCCTAATAATGTCTATGACTGACAGGATTTGAACTAGCAAAGATCTTCAGTCAAAGGTACAAAAACGTATTATATGTCATAGGGTGATAATGTTTCCAATAGTATTCACAGCCTATGATTCTGTTCCGTTTAAATTCATTGGACAAACCCAGAGCTTCTACCATTTTTATCTGAGAGTTCATTTCACAACAGTATTAGTGGTATTTATCAGGAGGGTTCAAGACATGCCTCCCTAGAGCTTCAAGACTTTCCTAATGATCCTGGCTGTGTTCAACAACACAGGGGTCTGTGAAATCTTTGTACGGATTTGGCTTTGGTCTAGTCTTTCTTCCAGTGATTTTGGCACTGTGCCCAAAGCCCCAATTACTGTCAGAATGACAGGTACTTTCTTATTCTTTAGTACTTGTATTTACCTTGCTAAATCCTGATGTTTCTCTCTTTTTCTCTTGTCTTTCATTTCAACCCTGTGATCTGCAGGTACTGCAAAATCCACAATCTATCATGTCTTGTAGTATGCATAATTCACAGTGGATTTCAGTTCATACCCAGTCTAAGCCAGATTTCACCGCACACCAGATAAAGATTCTGACCTAAAAGCAAGCTTTCAACTACCCCTAATTTGACACTAAGAGCATGTATCAAAGATCAACAATTTTTTTAAATAGCGTTTTTCTATGCTTTACAATATAGTATATAAGTAAAACTATCAGGGAAGAATCTTTGCATGTTTTATATAATGTCGGCTAAATGTATTGTTTTGAATATTTACAGATGTAATGAAATATGGCTGCAAAAGAGGAAAAGTCTGTTCCTGAAAAAAGTGATAGCAAGTCATTGCAGTCAACAGATTCTTTTGAGGATTTAACAAACTTTGTTGACAACAAGTAAGTGATTTAAAGCATTAAGTATATAGATTATTAAGCCACAATTTTTTTTTAAATCGATAAAGACACCAATCACTAGACTTTGGGGTGGGGCAAAATATAAAATAAAGGCAGTCCGATTTCTAAAGTCAGAAGACACCTTTTTACCAATAAAGAGCCCCAATTATACCAATAGGGGATGCTCATGACAAAATTATTGGTTACAAGGAGGCAGTTTCACAGTGGTGGCGCCAGTGAAGTAATGCTCTCAAAATAACAAGGATGGCCCTTGCACAAATTGTTGTAAAAAACAATAGCAAAAGTAGAAATTTGTCAATTTAGGCATCAACAAGGGGGGGCTCAGGATCAGGATGTGTCTTATTCTACAGCAGTTGCCTGTTATGCTATTGTAATGACAGAGTATTGCATGACCAAGATTTTTTCAAAAAGGGTGATTTCTATTCAAGGGTAGCAATTTCCTTTAAAACCTTTTAATTTTTCTAACTATGTTCCCATGAAGAAATATAAGATTTTAAAAGAAATGACAATACTTTAAAAATATATGAAGGTTTAAAGCAAAAATTTGTTAAGAAAATCAAGGTCGGACAAAAGTTATAGTACTCTTATAAAAAATGAGTGTTTTGTTTTAATAATTCTTTCTTATCTAATCCACAAATGAAAAGGATAAAATGTAAGCTTTATCCACAAATGAAAAGGATAAAATGTAAGTATGAAAAGTTGATTGATATGTTCGTTCAGGAAGACATATTTCAAAAATTGTAACACAAAATGTGCTCGTGATCAGAATGTTTCATTGGCAATAATTCTGTCTCTAATCGAAAAGAGAATATTGTCTCTAATCCCTAAACAACATATTTCATTATCAATTAAATATGCTGGGTTACATTTTCCTGAAATGGTTGATTAACTGATCCAAATCAAGTATCTCTGCTCGTTTTGCATGAATTACAAGCAGGGCCACGGATAGGTTTCAAAGGCCCTGAGGCAAAACTGGAAGATAAGGCCCTGAAGCAAAACTGGAAGATGAGGAATATTTTCCCCCTTTAGACCACGCCCTTTAGATTAGCTTGAAATACATTGCAGAATATTTTTTGCACTCATTTTCTTGTTATCATCTAAAATGTGTTACGTGTGCCTTAAAATGTTTTAAGCACAACTTAAGAACAATTTTTAGCACAACTTCATTGCAGGGAATTGGTGGTGTTTGCCAGGAAATTTTTAGCGTAAAATCGCAATTGCTTGGTTTTATTATGAACATTAAATTAATGTTACTCTCCTTCTACGGAATGCTGTTTTCTTGTGATACACATACATACTATATAATTTCTGCTCTGCACTACAAGCAAAAAACGAAGTCTAGCTTTCAAAATACAATCATCTGGTATTATCAGCGTCTGTTATACCAAATTTCCAGCAATTCGGGCATAATTTTCAGCTACTGATTTAATCCAAGCAAACTAAAACAAAGTTCATTCCTCTTAGTATTAGCCATTCTAGATAAGTAAAAACAATTAAAGACAGCAAATCTTGTTACGTCAATTGTGAACATGCCCCAATGTGAACATGCGAACACACTGGATGGTGAACATGCCCCAAAAACTGTGTGGATGTGTCCATTATTATTCATTCGCATAAGTTTTTCATCACTAGCTTAAATAGAACGTAAGCGTTTTGGGTTTACATCTTTGCCTCCAGCACCACCCCTAATTTAAAACATTAATTTCAACTATTGAAAAATAAAATAGTATCTTTACTTGTTGTATGAACTACTAGTTTTGATGATAAAATTGAGCAACAAACATGAAACTCAGGGCAGGGGGTAGGATACATCAATACTTATAAGGTATCTAGTTTGCTAGTACTGATATAAAATTAAATCAAGGCTATTATAGATTTTAAGATCTACTAACTTTAACCTTGAAAACAAACTATGAGTATTGTGGTCGATTACGTTCTCCTTGTTCATCTCATAAAGTATAAGCAAGGTGATTGCTGTTCGAAAAATCAAGGACCAACAATTAGTTCTTTTTTGATGTGACAATTTATTTTTAGGACAAATGTTTAAACAAATAAAGCAACTTAAATATCACTTTCAGTGGCTGGAAACTTTGTCGAAGTTCCGAAGGAAATCTTCAATTTTTTATTATGCTCCCAGGAAGAAAAATCCTATTTCAATCCCTGGAATCCTTTTTTCTTTTACGTATCTATCTATGGTGGGAAGTAGGGCAAGGGCCCAGAGTGGCACTTTACAGGAGATAGGTGCCACTCAACTGGTTTGGGGATGGAAATGTGCTACCGGATTTACAGTTTTCAAGGTTCGGTTTTATGACATAAAAAAGAATTGTCCTGCTTTTCGATCATAAGAATATTTTGTTACTAGCAGTTTCATTTCCACTTATAAAGTTTAATTTTGATCCATTAAGTATAAGGTTCTGGTTCTTGATGAGAAAACTCCCGTGTAAGGCAACATTAAAAAAACTCGCGTAGTGTTGGTGTATACTGGTTTTGATTTTTAAATGGAGAGTAGCTTTTTTCAGCTCACAAAGTAAGTTACCCCGTAGTTAAAACAAGATAATTAAAAAGGAAGCTGCCCTGTTTAAAACGAAGAATCTTCGACAACAGACAGACATCTCAGTGTTATTATTCTCACAAATTTTATAGACCAATGTGGTTCTTGAAAATGAATTAGACGTTTTTTAGGAAAGGAGTCTGAAGGTCTGAAAGTTTATTTGGGGGTCAACAGGTGGTTAACAGATGTTGATCTAGTACGTTGCACTGCAGCGAAAAATTTTGAAATGATCTCAATCATCAATTGTCTTTTTTTAATTCTCAGAGTAAATGTTGATGAAGCTGATGAGAAAATCGAATTATCAATTGTCAATGAAAAATCGAAACTGCTTGATGAAGTATCGCAAGAGACGAATACAGGAAATGACAATGAGCTGCAGGTGCAACAAAATCAACGCCAGCCTCGGGAAGGGTCTGGGACTAGGACAATGAGGGGAACTGGAACTGACCCTCAGGTTGCCTTTTTTTGTCAAAATAAATTTAATTTATGCTTGCTTGCGCAGCTGCTAGGTGTCTAGGGCAATGGCGTTTGGAGGGTTTCAGTGGAAAACTCCATAGCTTGTATAAATGGTAATTGGTTGCTTGCGGAGCTTTTATACAACTTAGCCTTCAAGATCCTGATGATACGTGAATACTATAAGACATCTAAATTCTATAGGAAATCAGAACAGAGCGATCAACAGTATTTATCCTCTCGATTAGACAGTTATAGACCAGGCGTATTATACAACAAGGGTAACATCTCTCCGAACTCTTTGCCACCGTGATATTTAGCTACCCTTACCCTCTGGTAACGAGAAAAGTTTTGGTAAACGGCGAATATCTGCTGCGTTTATCAAATATGGGCATTTTCCCAAGCCAGAGGTTACGGCCAATTTTGAAAATGCGTGAAACACGTGCACTGCAGCCTTCACTGTATCTACCCTTATTTTACTTCGAAATAACATGATTCTATTTATAGTTAAGAAGTATTCTAATGCA